ACTAACCTTAACATGAACCTAAACTTAACCCTAATTTTAACCTACAACAGACTCTAAAAAGAACATTTGGGGAAAAACACTTAATTGCTTTCTTGCAGGAAGAATGATGACAAGATGAATACTACTCCGTATCTGTAAGATAAATACACTACATCTTACAGATATACAGTTTGCTTAGCTTATAGACTGGAAACAGGGGGATACAGCTAGTTTACATTATTTCTGTGTAACAAATGTCACCTAAAAAGCTCACTAATTAACACACTTGTTTGTTTAATCTGTACAAAATTACAATTTTGTGGTTTTATGTGGTAATGTGCATGATATGCTCTTGGCCAGAAGCAGCAAATTTCACATTTATAGCAGGGCTAGCTGTTCCCCGCTGTTACCAGTCTCTGTGCAAAGCTAAACTAACTGGCTGCTCTCTGTAGCAGCATATGACAGTGTTACTAATCTATTGATCTACCTAAATATCAAACTATTACTTTAAACCTGTGGATATTTTTGCCTCCACAACATTATGAATACAAGTGCAGACACACAAAAGACTGATGGAAGGGGAGATGCTGTCTCCTCAAGTTTGTTTGCTTCAGACAGGAGAAAGATCCAAACACATTCACTTTCACTGTTCAGCTGGTCCAGAACTTATTGTCACTATATCTTGAACATTCAAATTTTTCCGCAACTCATTTCCCACCATTGCTGGGTTTTGGTTCCCTCCTCACCCTTAACCCCTTTAACCCCAAAATGGCATCAGTTTAACAGTAAAGGCAGCTTATGCACAAATGACAGGGAGCAACAGAGAGGGGAGGATGATTATCGTGCTGCTTTGACATGTTGGTGGGAGGAAAAAAGTAGGAGGCATTGGTGGAAGGAAAGAGGGGCAGACTGAATGTCAGTCAAGGCGTGAAGCCACCCCTGTCTATAATCAACATCTTTATCCATCATCATTAGCCACTGCTAAACACTGCAGCTGCCTATCACATCTGTTCATCCACCCACAGAAATGCACCAAGCTTCCCTCATCCATTAAGACAAAGGGAGGAAGCAGGAGGAGACGTACTATATGTGCAGGAGCTGGAGTGGTGGCACTTTCAGTCAGCAACTTATTTTTACCCGATGTGTGTTCTTCCTCATCAGTCATATGTATTTAAAGCAGCAGGGATTTTGAAAGACACAGGATTCCGACCACGTCTGAGTTCTCCGACAATGAGCAGCCATCACTCAGGCAAGCATCCTCTTCCTTCTGAGACCTGCTGATAAACATGCAAACGCTGCATCGCATTCATCTGTTCCTTCCTCCGCTGTGTCATCCTCAACTAGCAGGGTAGCGAACATACTCAGCAGTGCAGCTGAACCCTCCCTCCACCTTTCACTCGTGGATGGACCCCTTCGTTTTTTGAACCTCCTCCCTTACTTAGACCTGTTTACACATGTTCCATCATGCATGCCATATAAATGCACACGGACAGAAAGAAGGTAAGCACCTGCTTGTGCTTGCACAGACATGCACACATCAGACTCATGCATGCCATGCAGCAAATAATATAATCCCCAAAGCCTGAGTATGTATCCATCCAGGCATATACGCATAAAGCTGAGCAGCACACAGACTGACAGTAAAGTATAGTACATACACATAAAAAGACGAGTGGAGTGTAGAGAACGGTAAACCCAATTAAAGTCATGGATTGCATTGTGTTTTATCTTGACATAAATATGCAGAGATATAACTGCTTTGAAACCATGTCTGTTTTGACTTTCTATCCATGAACAGGAGGGGTCTGAGAGTCATGTGTGTTTGGTGGCTGGTCAGTCTTTCCCTCCACCAGCTGGATCAGTGGCTCTCAAACCTTTTTGCCCTGATTCCCATAGGTATAAGAAAAAAAATCATAATGCCCTGATTTTAAATTTTTCATAGTTGTCATAGTGACAAAACAAGTCAAACTGTATGCTATTTTATTAAGATAACACTATAACTTATTCGCACTTTTACACAAGTTATGTTGTGAAAATAATCAAATGGTCTTTGCTGGAGCAAAATAAATCTGACCAGATCTGAAACTACCATGAAAATCTATGCATTAAAATAAACCTGACCTTGATCTTAAAACTACCATAAACATACTAAGGATTAAGCCATATTAGCTTGATAGGAGCAATGAAACATAAGATTTTATGTGCTTTAAACTAGATCATTAGCTTTCAATCTACAGTAACTCAGTGTAGGAGTTATTCTTAAAAAGAAGACTTCAAAGAGAGATCAAAAGGGAAATTCTTTACATTTGATGGCATGGCTCTTCACCATGAGGCTGTAATACTCACAGAGCTTCACACTAAAGCCCTCAGGTCCCCAGAGACCATAACCTTGAGGGTTATGCAGCTCCATGGAGGGGTTCCAACATAGCCAGGAGGACTGTAGCGATAAAGGACTTTGAACCAAAAGACTGAACCTGAACCTGAACCTGATAGTGTTGAGTTCTGTGTTCCTGCACGTGTGTGTCTGACATACATCCGGACATTTTTTTTTTTAACATAATATGCTTTATTTTACAGATCTGCCATTTTCTGTTGAGGTTTCCTCGAAGGAAACCCACATTAATTAATTAGTGACTTATTATCCTAAACTTCACTCTACATATTCTATATGTTGAAATGTATGCTTACCTGTGGGTGAACTGCACATATTGGCATGTTCATCTTATCTGCTATGCACTGACTCTCTAGGATATGAAAGCAATCAACTGGAATTAATCAGAAGTGTACCCGTGATTAAGTGTACCCGTTTTCCTGTAACTGTAACAAAATGATAGAACTCCTTCCAGAAAACTTCTTGGAATTAATAGTGAATTATACTGAAAATACTGACCTGTAAAAAAAAAAAGAAAAAAAAAGAAGTGTTACTGTTCTTTTATTTTATAGAATCAAGTCTTTTTTTTCATGATAAAAGTGAAGAGATCTGCCACATTCAGCCAGTCATTTCTTGAACATTCAACTTGGAAACTTGCTGAAATATTCTCGGCACAGTCAGTATATAAACCTCATCCACACAATTTTAGACACTCATTGAGCTCTCATTGAGGTTTCATTGCCTTCAGGCCAAAATGTAAACTTAGCACGCAAGATGTCTTTAAATGTAAAAACAAATAGCCATGAAATTGGATGAACACATGCATTCTCCCAACAGGATAAACTTTTCTTTTTTTGACCCTTTAACCTTTCCTCTGGCAGCATCTAAAGAGAAATGTAACATTTTTAGACCTTGCTGCTTCTAAAGATGAACAGGGATTTCATTAGTATGTTTGATCCATTGAGCTGCTTCATATTGTCGGATGCATTGAACGCTGCAGCCCCCGGGGGTTCACAGAGGGGCCCCAGGGCTTTGGGTCGTTAGTTTTGTATGCAGTTGATTTACAGCAAGAGGTGAATGAGTAGTTTTCATTATTGTCTCTGAATGACTGAATGTAATCTAGAGGCACATGTGCTCAGCTGTGCAGTATTTACACCATAAAAGGCATCTTTAATTAAATTAATTGATATTCAAATTCAATTAAAGAACAGAAGAAAACAAACACCTCATCCTATCACCATGGAATCTGAACTTCATTTTGGTTTATAACCTGATTACGCCTGCGTAAATATGCATTTATCTAGGTCTCTACATTGTATTAAATATTGATTTCTGCTGCATGAGGACAGAGAGAAGACTAATAAACTAATCCTATGGTGTATCGACGTTTGCTTTGTGATGATCATGTACTGGAGGTTCCTCTCACATCACAATGTGCATCCATAAATAAAGGCAACCACATACACACACATACACACACCTGGTGCGTCAGCGCCACAAGTAGTCTCAGCGGAACGAGGCAGAGTCGACGCAATGGCACAGAGTGTCAGGGGAGCAGGTGTTTATGCCTCTCAGAGAAATAAGAGAGCTTGAGAAGTAGGCTGAGAAAGGCCCATCCTCTCTGTCCTTACCTCCCCTCCGGCAGCTATCAGGATGCGCCCCCCCCCCCCATCCTTACAGTCTATTATATCTGTTCTTTAATTCCATTTTTTCCATTTTGGCTTTATCTCATTCTGTGTTTTTGTCTTCACATTGATCCTCCTTCTGTGTCACTGTTGCTTCCCTTTCTCTCTAAATCTCCCAATATCCTGTTGACTCAGCTTGGATCCTCTTGTGTTCCTCTCAGAAAACCCACTAACACTTGTATTCTCTAGTGTCTGATGGTATCTTTGATCACAAACAACAATCCGACATACACATGTACACTCGAGCTGTGTATTTTTGTGTATAGATAGATGATTGCAACGCTGGAAAACATTTCATCTTCTTTTTTTTTTTTTATTATTTACAACACACTGCAGTAAATGCTCCCTCCATAACAGACCGGCCCACTACATGGTTTACAATCCTGCTTGATTTGTTAAGATCACAAAGCTCCTGCTTTCATCAGCGCATTAGAAGAGCCGGCAGGCAGCTCTAAATCACGAGGAAGTTTGCCATTAAACAGACAGTCCCTTTAAAAAACACAGAATAATTTCCAATGTGCATTACATCAAAATCTCACATTTCTTTTTAAATTCTAATTAATCCACATGGCACACAATGCCTCCACATCAATATATATGACAATCAAAATGATGTGACTCTTGGCAGGGACCAATACGATCCTTCAAGCTCAATTCAAGTGAATGGCCTTGAATTTTGATTTGTGCATGCACAGGTGAATAACCGATAGTGATGATGAAGAGGGAGGGGGTGAGTGGAAGAGGTGAGAAACATCAGTTAATCCACACAGTGCGTTGGCAGAGAGCCTCAGGACGAGGTGGCTTGCAGGTTTAGGATCAATTCATCAGCCTTAAAGCTTGATCGTGGTTGCCAAACTTACATCGACCGGAAAGTCCTGAACTGAGGAACTGTGCCAATGAGCAGTACACATACTGTACAAGACATATCCACAAGAAAGTCCAACACCTTGTGCTATCAATAAGACCGTATGCATGTGAAAATTTAAGTCTTATTTGATGAGTAATACTGTTCAAATGAAGTCCCAGCCCTGTTGAGAAACAAAGGTTTGAATCTTTGTTGGAGTCAGAAAAGTAAAAATCCTCCTGTTTGCATTTATTGCACGACACAGTGTCGGTTCATTTCCATGTTTCACCTCACTGCTACTGTATAACCGCTTTAGGATACAAAGCAGATTTGCTTCCCTCAACCATGACCAGAGTATATCTGTGGTCACTGTTTACTAAATGCACCATGCCTGAGTTGTAGCGTGAGTCCTCAGCCTCATTTCCATTTTAATTTCCTGGCGCGCCTCCTTCCTCAGCAGCTGAGGATCTTGATGAAGGCCCGCCTGAACTCGATGTTGAAGGTGGTGTAGATAATAGGATTGAGGGCACTGTTGACATACCCCAGCCAGGTGAAAGCACTGTAAAGTGCAGGAGGCACGTAGCATGTCCTGCAGTGGGTGTTCAGAATGTGAGTCACAAAGAAAGGCAGCCAGCAGATGAGAAACACCCCTGGAGCAGCCAGAGAGCAGAGAGGTATGGAGAAAGGACGGCAAGGGAATCGAGGGTGCAAATGGAGCAGAGTGTTGGACAAAGTAGAGACAGAAAAAAAGAAAGCAGGTAAAGCAAAATAATTGTAGCCAGAGAAAACATGAATGTGAAATGAGGGGAAATGTGTTTATAATGTAAATTTGAGGGGGAGGAAGTGTTGAATAGTTTGGAGAAGATGGTTAAAAGGAGAGAGAGAGAGAGAGAGAGAGAGAGAGAGAGAGAGAATAAAAAAAGAGAATTCATGTTAATCACTGCAATTGTTAAATCATAGCTTAGCAAGGCAAGGCCAGTAGTAACAATAGTATGAGTTTGGATAGTGTAGTCTTTTTTTAGACTTTCCCAAACCAAAAAAATAAATAAAATTTGAAGGAATAGATAAAAATTTACATTTGTCTGCTCGAACATAAATTGAAAACATAAGCATTGGCTGATTAACTACAGTGGCATGTTGTCACCTACCAAGAGCTAGATAATAATAATGTAATTGGTGAAGTATATTAATCATTATGTGGGGTTACAGGTGATGTTAGAAAATTCCTCATTCAAGACTGACACTCATGTGGGAACCCAAATGCAACTAAATCAGAGTTTAGAATAACAACACAAGAGCAAAATTTTGTGGATTATGTAACGTACTTGTTTGCTCTAATGTAAGCTGCAAATGTTAGCATGCTTGGATAACTAGCTTTCTACCAACAGTAATAACCAACCTCTTCTGAAGCCAAGATTAGATAAACACATTAATCATTGTGTGGGGTTAGAAGTGATGTAAGAAAAATCTGTGTGCAGGCATACATCCACTTACTATCATGTACTATAATATTAAGTCAAAACTGGTTACAAGAACAAAGGTACTTTATTAGGACCACTTAGCTTTAGCCTTTTTGCATTATATCTTGTCTCAAGCCATCACGTTCATGTTTGTGACTGTTAAAAATCATTGTCGTTTGAAAATAAATCAGATGGAAACATTAAAAAGTCAGCTGAAGATGAGGTTTCCAAATCACTGAGTTAGCATTATCTAATTAGCTAAAACTAGCTTACCACAGCTGATAGAATCAGCCACAAATAATTGAGATTTTAGCTAACAAAATTGACAGACACCTGCTATAAATGAGAAGCCTGCTTTTGTTTACTTACATGTACAATTGAAAAGCTTCTATTTCAAGAATTATAATGAATAATGGGTCACCGTTATCTATGTTTTCTCAATATTCGTGCCATATAAGAAAAGCTTCACATGTATAATCAATGGGCATAGCAAAGTGTCACTTAAAATATTTTTGGTTCCCCATTATTTTGTGTGGCATTCATATGCAAGGTATAGTTTATTATGTACAAACGGCTTTAAATGCTGTAACTCTTAAATTCAAGGACTTTTTTTCCACACAACATCGCAGGAAAGCAGAGGTCAGATGGCTGAAAAGCAGCTGGGAAGTGGGCTGGACTGCAATCATCCTCTGTGTGTGCGCCACTGTTTTCACTGACACCAGTGTAATGTAATCAGACACCTCTGATTAAATTTTTTTCAGTGGGATCTATGCTGTGCCAGAGCTAACTGGACCAGGCTTTTAGCATCCTGGCTGATAATTGGAGCGTGTGGAACCTGTGTCAGGAGCTACAGCGTGTGTTTGGGCACACACTGAGAGTCTGAAGCCAGCCAGACTTTTCTGACATTTTCACCCTCATTTATTGTGGTTCTGCCAAATATACAACAAATGCACGCACCAACCCGGTCAGGCGAGAGCAGGGCATGTAACTGGGTATATATGGCATGGACTCTTATACATTACATCTATGAAATTGCCTGTATTAAGTGTTACCATGACATTTACAATTTCATTTCCTCAGGTTATTTCACTTAAGACAGTCTCTACTCACCGAGCACAATGGCCAGCATCTGAGTGGCCTTTTTCTCCCGTGCGTGCATGCTCCTGAATCGTTGATTGGTGGTGATATGAGAGTGAGGCAACGGCCGCAGTGACGTGTGTGTTCGTCCATTGGACAGATCCTTCACCTCGCAGCTCATCCTGATAGGAGGCAGCTCCTTCTCGTTGTTCTCCTCCACCTCCTCCTCTTCCCCTCGCTCCTGCTCCAGATCCAGCTCTGTGCGGCCGCAGGAGGCGTGGCTGATGCTGCAGTAGTTCTGTGTGTCCACTGGGGGCAGCATCGAGTTCTCAACCGGTCCTGTCTTTGGGCGTTTGCGCCACAGGCATCGTGAGAGCAGGTTGGGCTTGGAGTGACCTGAGGGCTCTACGCTCTGCTGGAGAAGCGGTGCATGATTATCAGGAATTTGAACAGCGAGAGCGATGCCTTACAACTGCACATGCTTCATGCACAGGCCTACTAACTGTAATGACATGAGTGTTATTGTAATGTCATTCCATCAATGCTGCACAAATCAGTGTTTTTTTGATAAACAATAAAGTGGTCTGTTGTAGTGACAAACTGGCTTCAGATTGATCAAACAACTATTCCACACCCATCAGCTCTGCAGAGTGCTCTAGCATCTTTTAGCGTGTTCCTTAGGTTTTCTGGCCTGCAGCTTTAATATTTGGTTCATCTCACCGCTCTCATCAACCTCATTTCCAGCTGCAACAGACAGAACATTTTAGTGAAAAAAAAGTTCTGATAAACCTACCAGCAGCAAATGGCGGACAAAGTTAGCAGCTAGCTGGTTTATATACTGGAGCAATTAGCTGCTAAAGAACTAGAACTTTTCCTCTGGAGTTGGTAAAGACCAACAAAGCAGTTATTAAAGCTTTAAAGTTTGAATATAGGTATCCACAGTATATTTCTCTACCTTCCTTATTGTCTTAAACTTCTTCTCCGGTGTAATATCTATTGAAAGATTAATTTTCCTCTGCTTTAACCTCATGTGGGAAATATTTGGAAGACAAGTGGTATTCAACTAAGTGGTAGATAAAAACTTGGAAGATATGGCCAATACATCTCAGAGGTGCAGTTCAGACAGATCCTTCCTCCATCCAAGTTTTTACATGACAGCTGCAGTTACTCAGCGCACATCCAAAAATGTGATTTTAATATCTGTGGACACTTTCTAAACTACTCTAAAAGAAATTCTGCAACTACAGCTCAAATGAGCCTTCTCCCTTTGGGGTAGTAAGAAGAGTCATTAACTAATTTTAAGGATTGCGCAATGTGTATTTCCAGTATGGCCACAAACATGAATTTTCATTTTCATAATCTTCTCTTACTCACACACTCTTCTCATCACACATTTTCCTCGGGGAAAAAATTGGATTGTTACTCTCTCCGCCTTAGTCTGTGGATTATGCAGGTGCTGCAGCGCATCAGGCTTTTGCTCAGCTGACGAGTGGCCAGGTGACACAAGGCAACGATCCACGATTCAGAATCACGATTTTTTGGTTCCCCCGAAAGACCCCCGGGCTGCGACCACACAGCGTAACGAGGAACTCAAGTGTGCATGAACATACGCACAGACAGACCCACGTGAAAAGCTAAAAACAGAACTGCTTTACTTCCCACCATGTCACAATACGCCAACACACTCAGTATGAGAGTTAGTCAGAAATTAAGCTGCAGTGCATTCAACAAAAAAATCTATTGAAGAATTTCTAATTAGACATAATACCTACCACATTAATCCTTATTGGTGACAGGTCTTGTTTCGCCTTGGGAGTCTCTTCTTGTAGACAGGTCTCCTAGGGGATAGGAGCGCAGTTCAAGATCATCCTCACACCCTATAGCCCATCAGTCTACAGGTAGCAGATCTTTGTACCATTTACTTTGAAACACATTGCATCATCTCATTCATCTCACTGAGTGGCCATGTCTGCTATGTTTCTAGTCACTCTTACTCCTGAGCCAAACACTGTGCGACTCAATCAAAACACACCATGAAATAGAGATAGTCAGCTTTGAAACACACACAACTAGTCCGTCCTCATATCAAATGTTCCTTCAGTATGTTATTTCAAAACACTCTTCTATTATAACTCTCTCAGCCAGAACTCCTCCAGGACTTGGATCTTACAATGGGTGTCTCCATTCATGGATGAGATCCCAAACTGAGGCTCAACCACAACCAATTACACGTAACCTGCTGTTAAAATAGAGGACTGTGAATTTGTGTGCAATGATGGGCAAAAAAAAAATGGAATGAATCCAACCACATAACACAGGAAACTCCTGGATGATCTAATTGTGTCTTTTTATACACCATATTTTAAAAATAGGGTAGGAACAGATGCACAGAACATGACTTGATGTCTCCTTGCCCGTGGTTATCAAGATATCAAGATAACGCCATCATTTATATGATAGAATCAACTGGGACGAATATTAGAGTGATGAATGTGATCAAAGAACTGACAGCTGGTTTAGAAAAAAAAATAAAAATCTGATTTGCACTGTAATGAGATATCCACCATTTAAAGAGGAGTGTCACCCTTGCCACAAAATCACTGATAGTAAAAGAAAAAAGAAAAAAGAGATGACATCGCTTTTAAGGACTAAAATATTGCCTAGAGGCTCGGTTCTCAAAATAAACACAAAACACTTAACGGTCTATTTATATCTATTTAGAAAGCATCTTAAAAATAAATACGTTTTCTTTGGCGGTGTTGATTTTACACATTTTGTGGGGAATACACTTATTTTTGCTTGTTTTTAGCCATGCTACAGCCATGCTTTAGCCTGAGCTGTAATTTGTTTCTAGTGCAAATGGTAACATGCTATGATGCTCTGTTTGGAACTGCACACTCGATGAGCGCTGCATAGTACTGCCATCAAGTTTAGGATTACTGGACCCCAATGCAGACACAAAGGCTGGCTGGTTGAGTCTGAAGATTTATTCAACAAAAGAAAAACACAAAAGACTTACTTCAAAGGTAAAAAAAAAAAATGGAGATCAGGCAGGAACACAACAACTCTGAAAAATCCAAACTTAGGTAATCCAAATTAGAGGAAAACTAAGGCACAGAACGGGAGCATGAGGAGACAGGGGAAACACAGCAGGAACAAACAGATGAACTGACAAAGACTGAGGGAAAGATTTAACAACACAAGGGAGGCGAGGGTAATTAAATACAGGTGAAACACTGGGCAGGGCAGATAATCACAAAGGAGGAAAAACTAAAAAGTGGACACACAAAGTAAGTTATTTCAAAATAAAACAGAAAAAAAAACAAAAGTCCAAAGTGATATTACAGCATAATGACAGCTACCTACTAAATAAACGGTTAAGTATGTCACCAAGCTGACTGTTCACACTTAAGTATACAGCCAGTATCCCAGAATGCATTTCCCACCAACCAGCAGCGACAGCACTGACTGGTGAGGATTTTAAAGCAGGCTAAAAGCTGTTGTAATTTACACTCATAGGACTGTTAATATGTCACATTATAGAACATTTGTTCAGGTGAGAATGTAGATTTCCAATGTGTGGTCAATTTGTCTAACTAATCGTAAATCTGCTGCCACATTTACGGAGATTTGGATAGAGCTACTAGCTGGGTTTACTGTCCCTCTGTCTGTACCTGTGTCCAGTTAGCTAAATTCTTGCTAATTTAGCATACATCCTTGCATTTATTGTATACACATAATTTTGACATCAAATGAATAGTAGGCTACACTAGTAGGTGGTTCTGAAGACAGCATAAGATGGGGAACATGGTAAACTTTATCTGCTAAACATCACTCTGTTAGCATGCTGACATTGGCATTTAGCAGCACTGCAGTGCCTCCATACACAGTCAGAGCTGCCAGCTTGGCCGTAGACTGAGCAGAAATATATAAATATTCTATACTGTTCTGCCTTTTATCTCCCTGTCTCTCCCACTTCATTTTGCTTGCTTTTATACATGCTAATAACAATCCCATTAGCCTCAGCTGTAGTGCCAATTAGAGAATGTTAGCATGTTAACATGCTAAATTAAAATGGGGAACATTGCAAACGTCCATGCTAAACATCAGCTTGTTAGCATTGCCATTATAAGTATTTTAGCTGGCTGATGTTAGCATTATCATACACATCACACTTCTTTCTACCTGAAATTTCTATCTAAAAAGATGATTTAGTGTTGTATAGATTAGCTCAAAGATAGAGGCCACCTCGGGACACAATGAAGAAATTTACTATTTTTAACCTGACAAGCCACTTTAATTAAGAACAGCTTCAGTTTTACACTGACAGCTGTGTCAGCTACTTATAAACCGAGTCGTACATTTACATTTTATCTTTGACCCGTGTTCATCTGAAAGGACTATTGCACTCAGCCCAATTTGATAGAGTAGCCTCACTCAAAATCACATGGCTTTTCTCTCCCGTTAAAGCAAACTAATGTTCCTGAGATTCTTCTGACGTCTCATCTGAACCCTGGTCCTGCAAGTGAGTTATTGAAATCCATGCATATGAAAATAAACAGCTTTTACTGACTGCAGTGCTCTTGTCTATCACTGTGATTACACGTCATTTTTCTTCTATGATGGAACTGGTTATGAAGCATTAGGGGAGGTTTTGGTATGTGTACACACTGTGAATCTAACAGAAAAGGGCCAATATAAGGGTGAATTGTAATTTGCAAGTCATTACAAGTGTGCATAGTGTGGGTGAATGTGAATGAGGGAGAGACAAGAAATTTAAAGTTGTATTAAGTAAAAACCTTGTCTCTATAAAGAGGCACATCAGGAGCAAAAAAAACCTAAAAGTTATTCTGAGCTTGATTACTGAATTTTTTAACTACAATCAGATCTAAGGGGTTTATAATGGTTTATAATGGTATTTTTCTCAGTTTGTTTACCACCATCCACTGTAATAATTCACATGTCACTGTCTAATAAACACAGTTGTCCCTAAGGACAAAGCACATACAAGAGTGAAAGCACAAACAAGGGAAATGTGCTACAAATGAAATTGCTACATCAGAAGTGCTCTGTGAGACCAGGGGAGTGATGGGCTTGATTTGGATAAGCAGAAACGTACAGATCTAAACAGATTTTTTGGGATAAAAAAATCAAATTGAAAGTGAGCGTAGCAACAGATACACCTGTTATCTGTAATATATATATAAACAATAAAGCACACTGCCTCTGATCATTTTCGTTTATATATATATATATATGTTTTCTCTATTAAAATGTGGACACATACAGTATGTGTGCATGTTAGAACCCCAAAGTCCAAAGAGGCAGCACCAAAAATACATTTATTATATATTTAGCTTTACCTTCAGACGGACTGGCAGCAACTAATTCAACTCTGCAATCAAATTTTTTCTTCCAAATGGAATTATAACATATTTCAAAACGCTACAAACGTCAGAGCCACTTGGCAAATTAACCAAAGCGCTTGCTGAGATACGACTGTTCTCCCCAGGATAATTCTTCTTGGATGTGTTTTCCTATTTGTATGTGTTTTTGTTGCATTTTTTTTGCTTTGATGGGTTTCCTATAATGTCTGTGCTTTCACTCTTCTATGTGCTTTGGTTTTTGTATTTGGAGCGTGATTCCCATAATGATAATGAACCATAAAGTGAGTGGTTATAAATGTTAATAGGTCATTAATAATGAGTCAAGCCTAATTACCGTCATACCATAAATAAAATTAGAAGGGCAGAGAATTAAGATAATCGTCTCACCACAGATGGCGGGGTCGAGCCTGGCTGGATCTTTCCGCTGGCCTGGCTGAAGGCGATCCTCTTCCGCCTCATCCTGAGGAAGATGTAGATGCGGATGTAGACCAGCAGAGTGACAATAAAAGGCAGGTAGAAGGACACCACTGAAGAGTAGATCACAAAGTCGGGGTTGGAGATGGAGCACACCATGGGGTCATCTAAAATAAAAGCAAAAAATATCATTATGCAAAACACGACTTCAGGTGTAATTTCCAGCCAACCTCTGACCCTGGTGCGTGCGCTCCATCTTGAAAATGACATCGATGGCTTGTCCTCGTTCACATTATGCGTACATATTGATCTATACAGTACTGCACATAGACACTAACAGCCATGACTGTGAGATGGAGGTATGACTGATTTGACAATAATTGCCCCATACATTCAGGATAAGAGACCATTTGACACAATAATACTAGTGTATAGACCAATTTTTCAATCAGAATTCCGGAGGTAAATATCCATCAGGTGAGCTAATAGTGCTGTGAATTGATGTGACACAGGGTCTGACCGCAGCTGTACAACAGGTGAGTGGCATGAACAAAATGTAGGCATTTGCCTCCCCCTGGATGTTGCCCTGGATCAATATCACACACCTCAATACACAGAGAGATGGGAACAAAGACAGACACATATATCCTAGTCACTCAAACAACATTTGTATTTTCAAGCTGCTCTCTCTCTCAATCCATTAGTTTTAAAGGAAGGTAAAAAATTCTGGGCATAATATGACTCCATTGATCCCTCCTTGGTATGCTGACGCCTGGTTGCATACTGACAAAACAGTGGGATTCCTGCGATCACCAGCCACTGTTTTCCTGTGATTGTAAGTGGACTAAACCACACGCCTGTATCTCAGTGAACAGCTTTACATTGTGTCTGACTAATGCTCTTAATTGTGTGCACAAGCAGTCATGCATCTGTGCTGCTGGCTACCGAAATTAAAATAGCTACTGGTAACATCTCTCGTATTTCTCTGTCCATTTGTTTTGTTTTTTGGGTTTTTTTTTTTTGTTTAGTTGTGGATTATTCTTGTTCCCATGTCACAATAGCCAAATACAGAAGACGTGTCAGCGCAGCAAAATTTCAGTTATGCAGAGCATGAATAATCCCTAAAACATCTTTCAGAAGATGACACCCTCTCTCCACCCACAGCCGCCTCATTTAATCAGAATTCAATGCATGCAATATTTAAAAATGAAAATGAGGAAGACATTTTTCCTCTAACAGGAAAGATGTCTCACTTGTGACACTGCTGCTGTGACTTCTACTCCTTCCACTTTCACATACAATATTTCAAAATTTCTATTTAATTTTCTATAGAATCACAAACTGGGGAGGTGCCCAGAGCAAATTTAGGAAAGGTGAGGACACCCAAAAGATTTTACTTAACCACAAGGAAACTGTAATGCACCAAACATCATAGATAAACGATATATTATAAGAGTCCAAGAGCATCTGATGGTGCATTTTCCTTTCATAAGGGGATTCCATCAATTCATCATTATACTTCAATAAAGTTTGGGGATTTACAATGGATAGACGCTGTTGAAATTGCTGAGTTGAAGCCTAACTTTCAGTCTCTAGTATGGGATAAGCTCTAAGAACACCAGATCTCTACAGCTCAATAATGTCTTTAATTAGGCGGCAGATTTGGAGAAACCAGAAAACATCATTACTCCAACGTGGTTAGTGCATGATGTCCCCCACTGCTAGGCATTTAAGTGTTACCAAGTGAACCCACATGCAAACAAATTATGCATAGATCCTTTTCAAATTAGCTGAATTGGTCGTATTAGTATTAATATTAATCTAATTGGGCGTGTAACTGCCAGAAATGGTGCTTTGCAGCCCATGTTTCCAGTGGGTAGTTGACAAATAGCAGAAATAGTAAAAGTAGAAATTCCCAATATCTCCGACTCCTAATTACAAGTCGGATGCTCACATGAACGGTTCCTCCTGCTCGGCTGCTCTTAATAAGGTCTGAATGATATTACGCAAATGTTGCATTAGTCTGACTGCTTAAAAGCTCCCATCTTTTAAACTCAACATGCCCAGTCTGTAACACAGGCTGTTTAAAATTTGAAGTCTCAGACCCGAGCTGAGATAACCCCGATATATAATCTTCAGTGGTTATTTTCTCATTCTCAGACAAAACCTCAAGACGGATCCACAGAATACATTATACAACATTTTCACAGGCTGAGTAGTGCTGCCCATGCCAAGAAAATTTATTCTGACATACTAGATTGGTGGAGTTCACCTTTAAATCCCATTTCAGGTTGTATTTCATGTCCTACCGCTGACCCTAAATGACAGGTAGAATGAATTTTGACCCTGGATTTCAGAATAACACAGTGCCTTCGTGCCTGCATGACTTCACTAGAATACATCTGGACTGGGAGATGAAGTCCAAATGCTGTTGAGCTGACCTGTGGTGTTGAAGCCAAATAGCAGGGGACAGGAGACAGCGAAGGCCAGGACCCACACGGTGGCAATCATCGCAAAAACTCTCTTCCTGGAGCGATGGGTGGTGTTGTACAAGACGGGCATCACCACTGCTGTGTACCTGCAGACACACAGATTATCTGTCCAGCTCTGGAAATGTGCGTGTTCAGGGGATAGGTGGTGACATTTAAATGACTAGAAAAGTGCTGATATAGGACGGGAAAAAGGGAATTATTAGAGGAAAGAAGAGAGCTTGGGGATGCCAAGAAATGCACTGCTGAGAGAAAGCGGATAATGTGAAGACCAACAATGGAGCAGCAAACCAGGCGTTTCTATTTAGAAACAATTTGGGTATTCAGCAATAAACCTAAATAGTGGCGCTTTGATTTAAGAGTTAATCAGCACACTATATACCAAGAGTGTATAATGAGCCAGAGAAAACTAGGTTCAGCATTGGCTCGGAAGAAGCAGCAATTATGCTGGACCCCGACCCAAAAAGGATGTGATGTTATGTTGTTTAGAGCCAGATAACTGCCACCACTGTTTATCCTCATCAGACTAATTACTCTGGTTGTTCTCTGGGCAAAACGCAGGGCGATACCCGGAGCCAAACAGACACAGAGGCTCACTAAAAATACTCTTCCCTCGCTGCTTTACTCTGTCTTTACCCTCCTGCCATATTGCTGTCTGTTTAAATAAAAACTGAAATGAAAAGCTGGAGTGGTAAAAAATTATGTACTTCTCATGGTTTATTGATCAAGTGCTGCTTTAAGTTACAGTTTTAGCTAAGGATGAATACAGGGCTCCCAGTCGCGTCTTAAAACATGACGCTGTGATTATTTTTCACACAGACACTTCACCTTGAAGTTTGATGTTTCAACTTCCTTTCCGGTGTATTTACGTCGCCTTTCGTTTGACGCCTCCTTTAAATAGGCGACAAATCTTCCCTGCCATCAAAGCGCCGTTTGCTATGAATTTATAAATAAACAATGCTGTCACAAAGGTAATGTGGGTGTGTTATACACTATCAATGACACAGAATGCCTCCGGTGCTTTGCATCAATTTAGCACCTCGCAAAGCGTGTGATACTGTAGCAGTGTTGTCATTGACTCATCTAATAATCAATCACAGAGAATCACAGGGGCTCCAGAGAAGCAAATTATGTTCTTTGTACAGAAAAACACCACAGGACAAACATATATGCCAGCGGGCATGTAAACAAATGCAACTGAAGATACAAAATATGTTACAAGTGCTCACGAAGCGCCTGTCAGCTTATCAGTCTCATAAAAAAACATGTTGCTGCAAGGTCAAAAAAAGACACTGCTGAGTTAACTGTCTTGTATTTTAGATAACGTATCCCTAGATAGATCTCTTATAGGAGTTTGAAAGGATCTGAATAAGCCAAGGTTTATAGTATTTTTTTTTTTTTTTGTCAAACGACTGAATAGTATAAAACTTTTAGATGGAGAGAAACAAGAAAAATCTGAGTTTGGGATTCATATCGCTCCGACACTTCCAGTTCTTATGTACTTTCTTCATCCTGCGGAGTTGAACTCTGGATGCCTGCGGGTTGTAAGTTCAAAGACCCTAGAGAGCTATTAAATATTTACTGTGACACAAGAAGAAAAACTCAGCAAATAAATAATGCAAATACTAGATGCATATATAAAGTAAAGGTTTGAACTGATGCAGATCCCCCCCCCCCCACACATCAATGCAAACACGACGCAGTGCAATTAGAAGAGAGAACAGACACACAGTGTGCATGAAAACTCCACATTAGTGTCTTTCTCCCTGTTACTCATTTTGTCACACACACGCACACACACACACACACACACACACACACACACACACACACACACACACACACACCTATCAAAGGGTATGAGCGAAAGAGGAAAACATTGTGATTTTCTCCAGGAAGTTTTGAAATATCTATGAGCTGAGGTGCAGAAAAGAGGAATACCTGGAAGCATGGAAATCTCACATGGACGGATGTCATGGCAACATCTAGTAGTCATACACAATAATGACAGCAAGGAGCACAAGCACAAACACACACACACATGTACTCTCACCTGTCAATGCTGATAGCACACAGGTTGAGGATACTGGCGGTGCACATCATCACATCCAGCGTGACAAAGATGTTACAGTAGAGCCGGCTGAAAAGCCAGGCACCGCCAACCACCTGCACAGGACAGACGGGCAGATTAACAACGCACACGTTTCCCTTTCCCTTCTTCACCGTGAAGTGTGAAGCACGTATTTGAGCGTACACATGAATGCACACACTCCTGCATGTGACAGAAAAGGCAAAGAAGTGGGGGAAGAAAAAAAAAAAGGTGCACATATGAGAAGGTTTGGCTGACGTGACATGGAGAAAAATAAAAAGAACAACAACAACAAAAAAAGCTTGAGCTGCCAAATGTGCTGCCATATTCAGCCTCATATATTGAACATAAGCATTTATTCTAATAGGGGTATTAATTATGCATGAATAAGCAAATATGTTTATGTCAGCAAACAGTGCTTATCCTGATATAACACAAGCTGCAAGGTAAGTCTGAAGTGTAAACTGCACCATGATGGATGACATACATAACGTTTTAAGCATGTAATGGGAAAATAGAACTGAGGGACCGTGTCAAACACACGGTTTAATTATCCTCAAGGGAATTTAGATTTCTCAGAAAGGACATTAACCCGCAGCTAAACCAACAACACCCCAAACTCCCACATCTTCACCCCCATCCCCTCCAGTAGAGGCCTGCTCAGGCCGACAGGCTTTCACTTAGGCTACAGTAATGCCTGCTAATAACGGTCTGACAAAGACAAATGGGATCCCAGCTCCACTGCCTGACTACCGAGTCTCTTAAATCTGGGATGGCAAATATACGCCTACCTAGACGGAGAGGCAGCAGGCACACGGGGGAATACGCGCAGGCACACACGCACGTGCAAAGATGTAAATAGCAGTCGCTCTCTGATGCCCCACATACACAGAGGCAAGCAAATACACAAGCACATTTGTCATCGTATACATACGAATGTGAAAACATTCACTGCTAACATTCATTTCCAAACTTTCCTAACTTCCTATTCCCAGTCCATTCCTTGACCCTAGATTAGGAGCTCAAAGGCCTAAATTGGGGGTGGGGGGGGGGCTGGATTATATGAGGCATTTCCCTGTACTGTTTTGTGATGATTTTTAAATGACAAAAAAATAAATAAATAAAAGAGAAAATGGTGAAACAGTTACAGATATAACAATTTGAAAAAGCAAACTCTTATTTCACAGGGACTTGTAAACGTTAAGACATTCATCTGGACAAAAGATTGGAGGCCTGACGTGCGTGGGGGAATACATTTTTAATATCTACTTCATGTTTTCTGTCAGATTTCACTGTATTCCATGAGATAAAACACCAGCGATAAAATCTTGGAAGCGGAGCAACTTCCACACTACAAATGGAGCTGTTTTTCGTAGTCAGGTCATACGTTTTACTGAGGCTGAGCAACATCACTGAGGATGGATTGTGGAAAGCGAACGCTCAGTCACTGCTGCCAATACAACCGCTTCCTTCAAGTGCAAGTCATAGATCAACTGTACCATCAAGCGATAAGGTGGCTTGCTCAAGGGCACGTGATTAGTACCTGCTGAGGGTAGGAAGAGTGATACTCCAGTCACTCTCGCTGCCAAGACACGCCTGCAGAAGAAAACCAGCAACCCTCTGGTCACAACAAGCTAATCCCCCGTCCGTCAGATTAGAGCTCGCAGGGTGATGGGGCTGACAGTGCCAGTGTTTCGGAGTTCAAAGTCTTTGCCTCTGACTCTGAACTAAATGTTTTTTTCCCAGCCTTATCCAAGATATTACTGACCTTTACATTCTTGCTGAATTAATGAGTATTGTACTTCAGTGTCATACTATCTTTCAATGACCCTTTCATTATGGGATTATAAATCTCCCGTTTGAATCTCAAATGAAGAGTTCCAATCCTGAAATGAAAAATGCAGTACATGCTCTTACGGCATGACTGCTTGCATAGAAGTTAAACTCATGACTGAATCTCGTCGAGGGTCCTGGCCACCTTAATTTACCTTTCATAGGATATAATCATCTTTAATTTGTCAGCTTCTGCTCACTGAGTGTGTTTTTTTTTTCCTCTCTCTCTCTCTGGCTGACCTGCCGTTGAGTCTTCTGCATAGAGTTTTTCTGCTGACAGTAATCAAACTTCGGGCAGCAGGGTGGCTGCTTGTGAAACATAACTGGACTTCACCCAGATGATTTTTTGGACTTCACGCAGGCAAACATCTGCCCCTTGAGCAAGACAGTTGGTCTCCCCAAGCTTCGAGGATGCTATTCTACAAGCACGCGCGCCTTTGTGCATGTGCTTATACAAACAGTGCACCTCTGCAGTGCGTTTTCAGTGTGCTTCCTAAATTACTTCTGCTGAAACGTGGATGCCTGGTGGTCACGAGCGGCATGAAGAGGGAGGTGGAGGAAATTTAACAATTAGCAGACGAACCATTACACTAGAGAGGAATCTGTGAGGTTTTTTTTTTTTTATCTGAGATAAAAATGAACAGAATTCACAACAATAAAATATCTCATAATTACGAGAAAAGATTCTGATTTGGAGATTGAGATCTTGTAATTATGATGTTGTAATTAGGAGAAAATATCTTGTGATTATTAACGGTAACCCAGGGACCCAAAGACATTTTGATTGAGAGAAGACCAAAACCTTCGTGGTAGCACAGACAGATTGTTTGAGCCTAACGATGGAAATTTCCCCAAACTGGATGAAACAATCAGCCTTTTTGACAACGTCATGGCTGGACACATTAGGAGAGTAACATCAGAGGAAATGCACGTTTACTATTTAGGCAAAGACATTCAAAAGGAAATCATATTAATTGCTAACTTCCCAGATTCAGCAGGAAATTCTCAGAGAGCAATTTCTTGGGAAGTTCACAGAGATAACTGATTGCACAGGTGCCGGCATGACTGAGGTCCTTATTCAGAAACATAGCGAGCTGGATATTGACATTATGAACACGAGGGGTCAAGGCCACGACAAAGGATCAAATATGAGAGGTAAAGATAGTGGTGTGCCTTGCGGTGTCCACTGTCTTCACTTGGTAGTTAATGATGCAGTTTTCTCTGCTTCCACCTCTCGCTGGGGACGTGTTAAAATAAGCGCATGCCGTTTGGGTCCAAAAGCAGGCCAGCGTGGCCTCTCACAGTCGAGCCATTAGGTGACACGAGGTTGGAAAGTCGGGCACATGCACTCAAATCCAATCCGACACCAGTCATGGGGTGTGTGTGACGCGCTGCTGTCAGCGGCAGAAGATGAAAGAGGAAGTGGTGCTTGAGGAGCTAAAACTAGATGTGGAGCCAGAGGCACTGCAGCTCAGATCAAAATGTATCCATTAATGTGCTTCGTCATAACATGGTATGATTTCTGAGTGTGCTCTTCAATGCAAAATCACCGGCAGAGGATTTGGAAACTGAGGCCCCGCTATCCCCCACAAAGAGCAGTGCGACCACGAAAGAGGAAAAGAAGTGTTTCACTATGAATTAGACGGTGTGAAGCAGAAGCACGGGGACATATTGAGGGTGTTATATGACATTGCATCCATCAAGGAGGAAAAAGTTAAAAAAAAAAAAAAAAAAAAAAAAAAGCCCTGATACACAGATGTTGATGAGCAAGAACTTTTTTTTATAGAGATGACAACCTTTCGTAGACTCCTGCGAGCTGGAACTCAGACCTTCGGATGCGCTCATCTGTGACGATGCGATGGAATCAGTTCTTTCCCAACGCCTGTATAAATCCACGAGCGCCTCTCACCCTCCCTGTTTAAGTTGCTTCAGGAAAACACAGTTTATCAAAAGGTGAAACCAATAAAAATAAAAAAAACTCCCCCACACAGTAAAATGAAACAAGGTTTTTATTTTGATTTATGTCTGTGGCATATTGGCTTTAGTGTGTTGTTGCTTTGGTACGTTGCAAACAGAGCGACGGGATAATTGTTTCTCACCTAGAGCTGCACGAGTAACCACTAAATCCTGGAAGTTGTAGAGTTGAAAGCCGTTTATCTGAGTGTGACAAACCAAACAGCAACCTCCAGAGGATTAGCCATGTAGGCTACCGTTAATTGTTGATATTGTTTACACATTTTTTTTTTAATTTTTTTTTTTATGTGAAACTTTTGCAGTGAGTAATGTGCCTGACAAAGAAACAATTACCACAAGATAAAAACCATGCGGTTTCATATATCAGCAAACTCACATCTGAACATTGTAAACAGACTGCGAGGCTCTGTTGAGTTTGCTGACTTTTAGTAATTTTGTAGCAAAATTTTATTCAGTATGAATGAAAAAAAAAGCAGACTGTTGTAAACAATGGCTTCCTGAGTGTAGTTCTGTCCATTAGAAAAGAGCAGTATACTCTATGTACCACCTGTCATGTTTAGTCATAACTGTCTATGTGTGCCCATATGAATACGTCTTTAATGTGCCGCAGCCCCTTAAGCATTCATGCTCAGCGTTACCCAGAGCAACAGCAGTGCCTTCTGCGGTAAACTTTTACCTCCAGTTCTACTGAAGTTCATGAGCAGAAGAAGTGTTATATAAAAATGGTTATAAATGCTGCTCTGGGTGGGGCCGATATTACTTTGGTGCCCCAGTAAATGTTCATTTTGATTGTTCAAACGTGTCAGATTTAATGTATTTAATCTTAAAATATTATAGTCATAGTAAATGCAAACACTGTTAGTTGTAAAATGAGCTAAAATGTAATTTAATAAACGTGTTCTTTTGCAACTTGTGTGAATTCAGTATTTGTACCCGACTTATTGTTTTGTCTTTGCTCAACATTTTTATGAGTTTAATGTTTGGAATTCAGTGTCACATCAAAAAGCTCTGGGCACCTTTGCTACCAGGTGGCACTTTTATAAATCAAGGTAAGTGGTTGACAAGTGTTGGTGAAATGTTTAATCAAAGGCATGATACGTTGTAATTCTTTCTTTCTTTATTTTTGTTGACAAAGCGCACAGTGTACATGAACAGGACATAACACATTACTTAAAAAATCAAGGCTATGAACACCTGCCCCATGAACTTCAACACAGCTCATAATATGATGACAACAAATACAGAACGGATATAATAAAAGGTAAATTTGCCATTTATCAGCTGTAATCATGTTGATTACAGAACCACTGATTCAAGAAACAGTGTGATGGAATCATTTAGACACATTTAAGACAAATATTATGGCGCTCGTGGAATTTCAGGACAATTCAGGACAATTGAATATTAATGATCACTGACGAGTGTGTCCAGCTGTCTTTGTGCATTTCTCCGCTGTCTTTCCGGGAACAGCCTGAAAGGAAACAACAAAAAGGACACAGCATTGTTAAACCCTCAAAACGGAAACGTAAAAATCTGAATGTATAGTTTATTTTGGGACAATGGGAATTTGATTATTCACAAAAAGGAAAGTGCACAATAAAACCAACAATCAATCAGCAATGAAAGAATCAATTCACCAACAAATCTATACACTGCTTCTTATGGCAAGAGTGTACTTACTATTAAAGCTGAGCGTAGGTGGAGGCTCGTTAAAAAAGGTAAAGTTTAATCGCTTCCTCTGGAGTAGTGGTAGGTGGGTGTAGATTGTTTTCTGACGTTGATAGAAGATAACTGTCAAAACCAGTCTCATCACGTGGATGCTGGCCTCTTGGCGGGTATTCCTCCCTACAAGCTTGCTGTTTGCTGTTGGGATACCGCCTCGAGGTAGTCTGCAGTGTAGTGGCGAAGGCTGTACATCATTAGCGGCCGTTCACTCGGAGACACTGCATTCCTGCCGGGGCAAATTCTGTGGCAGCTCCACAGATTAGCATGTTCCCCTAGCAGCTGCCTCTGGGAAAAAAAATGTTATCTATTAACATTTATGCCTCACACATCTTTTCAATTATCTCATGCCTATATGTACCATGAAAGAGTTTCTGGATTCCTCTCCACAGGGGCTGTGAGGAGATTCCAATAAATTCTAATAAGCGATGGGGGACAACATAGTCGCCCTGGGCAAAATGCTTTCTAAAGCTCAGCTTAAACTCATATGAAAAATGAAGCTGGTGCCTTTAAAAGTTACAGTCTTTTTGATGCAAAATGTCTTCTTTTCTTAATATGCTCAGTAGCTCAGCAACAAAATGCTGTCAGTGAAAACATAAAGAGGGAATTTAGATTAAGAGGAGTAAAACTAGAAGACAGCTACTCCTGGATTTTTCTAGTTCTGACTGCTGACGCCTCATCTCAGCTTCAGATGAACTGCAATGAATGAACTTTAGCAAATAATAATACACTTGAACTGTGTCAGAAAGATGAACAGTGTGGAGAAATTATTACAGCGTCAAATAGCTACTGCAGGGTACAACTGGGCAATATAAATAGCGGGTTCTTCCAGTGAAGTGAACCATAAAGTTAAAAATGAATTCATTGCTTAACTAATTCAAAGTGTTATCTCCAGTCAAAAAGCAGAAAGTCTTACCTCAATTAGTTCTGGTGTGAACGTAGATTTATGTCAAGGACGTCCCCTTAGAAACGGTCCGGGTCCTTTAAATCTTGAAAAACATTGATCCAGTATTGTGCGAGGCGTTGTCTTAAAAATCCCCACCATTGTTCAATCCTTTATTAATGATTACATGAGCATCTATCAGAAAACTCTCCACTAAACAGTCCTCTGTAGTACCCAGGTCTGCCCTGATCCATGAGGGAGTGCCGTCCCTGTTTTCCACTTCATCAGTGAAGTAGACTAACCAGCAACAACCCCAGGATTGCTATTTGTGGAGAACGCATGCAGCCATATAATCTGTTGACGAGGGCAATGATACATATTCCATAGGGTTTTAGTTTGTCGTATGAATCGACATACAGCAAGAAGTTGGGACCTGTGTGTCTGTATACAGGCAATATGGTAGCATCAGCTGTACTAATGGAGGATCTGGGATATTGAGCAGGCACCGGACAGTTCTTTTGTGACACCAGCCAGCTTGGATGAATTTTAAAAAGTAAGAATTTATATCCATAAATCATCCCGTTCTGGATTAACTGCTCCTGCAAGAAGAGGGTGACTTCCTGCAGGTCAGATGTAGGAGATGTTTTCTTGTGATTACGGGATAGTAACTCATAATTTACATGATAAGGTGACCATGTTCTATTCCTTTTTTCAAAGTAATGCACTTCCATACCATTTGCCACTAAGGTCTAATAAAACTGAAATTCACAAGTTGGCAATTTCTTCTTCATAATTTGAAGTTTAACCAATTACCTCCAGAAGATGAAGTCATAATTTGCTAATATTCAATATGTCCTTCAGCAATTATGTATAATCTACCTGAATAGTGAAGAACGATCTAAACTACCTTTTATCATCATTACTGTTCCTATAACCCACACAGTTGTCACTACGTAATGAGCTCCAAATTACCCTCATCCTTTATCTCTCTGACTCGAGCTTCGTTTTCTTTTGCAAAAGTCCACTTTTCTTCCAACCCTCTGTTCTTTCTCCTCTCCTCTCTACTCTCCAGTGCCAGCTCCTCATTCACTGCCAAAGATCTGTATTTCAATATCTTCCACATCCTCTGGAGCTCTAATACTTCCTCTCCACTTTCTAACCCTTCTTTCCTTCAGACCTCTCTATCAGTGACTTCCAACTAGCCTACTTGCACCACAAGGGGAACAACTGCAGTTGCCAGAGGGGAAGTGGAAAGATTTTTGGGGTGGCTCAACTAATTCAAAAATATATAAATATGAAAAAAATCTTATTATATATCTTCGATAAAAAGCAAAAATCCATGTATGACGTTTAGGGGGCAAAATAAAAGATTACAAGTTTGAGTGACTCTTATCTTTAGTAGATTTATTGTCTCTCTCTCAAATTAAATCGAAGGCAACTGGACTTGTATTTGTCTGTGGAAGACGTTTCGCCTCTTATCCAAGCGGCTTCATCAGTTCTTATGTATTGGTCTCTCTAGTCCGCACTAGTCTGACTAGTGCGGACAAATACAAGTCCAGTTGCCTTCGATTTAATTTGAGAGAGAGATAACAATGACCTGGACGAATGAGAACATTCACAGATAGATTTATTGTCACAGTAACGTCTAAGCTGCCAGCTATGATAAAGCTGACTGCACGGTTCATACTGTCTATAAACCTGAGACAGTTGTAACATCTGACGGCTATGTTTTGCTAAAAAAAAAAAAAAAAAATTGCATGAAGACTGGTTAGTGAGTTGAGAAGTTCATATAGTTTAACCATTAAATACCTAGTTAAACCAATTAACGGATAAACAAGTAAAAAAGTAAGCTAAAAGTAATGAGCTAACGATTGACATAGTTTGATAAACATAATGGATAAATGGTGGAAATAAGTTTGCTAGCATTAAAAGTAATTTAGAAACAGATAATAATAATTAACTAAAAGTAATCAACTAACAGTTGAAAGTTAGCTAGGCCTAATCGATAAACAGCTGGTGAGCTAAAAGGATGAATGGTTAAAATAATTAGCTAAATGAAATACATGGTTGAAATAGTTAGCTGATGTTAGAAGTAATTCATTAACAGCTGAAATCGTTAGGTAAAAGTAATGGATAAATTGTTGAAATGAATGAATGTGTAATGAATAAATGGCTTGGTTGGGCTTCTGCCACTCCATGGTAGTAGTTGAAGTGCAAAGTTGAGCAACCAGTCTGAAAAAAAAAAAAAAAAAAATCACAATATCCACCTCGATGTAGCTACGTCACATTCACTTGATGGTGAAAAATGAGAAATGGTGGAAATGAAGGGGCACTTGAGCTTATAATAGAGATGAGGGGGAATGTCTGACAGGAAAAGGCTAGGAACCACTCTACGCTGAAACGTTGTAAATACGGACACTGTGACCTCCTCACCTCCAGGTAGACAGCCCAGGGCATGACCAACGAAGCCACCAGCAGGTCGGCCACAGCCAGGCTGACCACCAGGTAGTTGGTGGTGGTCTGAAGGGAACGTTCCCTCAGCACAGCCAGACACACCAGCACGTTCCCAAACACGATGGCCAGGATGAGCAGGGAATACAGCATGGCGTAGTAGTTGCGCTCGCCCTCGTCCTGCCCTGATGCCTCCGCGCTCTCATTCCTCTCGTCGATTCCGAGGCGGTCTGACTCGTTCCAGAGCCGCTCTGCGCTGCTAAATATCGCCATGGAGACGTCCCGGTGACATGGGAGGTGATAAGTTTGGCAGACCTGCCAAAGATAAAGAGCACAGTTTGGTGTTTACCCATTCATCACATAACTTCCTCTCTTTTGGATTCTCGTGCACAGACATAACATTTCTCATTAGTCACATGAAAGTGCAGCATATTAGCCATCAGATGATGGTGGCAGCATCATTTCAGGTCAGAGGCCTACTGGGAAACATCTCCTGGCTCTTAGCAACAGTAGTCAGACGAACTGATAAATAAAACGGTTGAAATGCATCCCAGCAGTAATGTCCCTCGCTGTACATCACTGCTGTTTGCTGCACACTGGCAAAAGTGAATGAAAAATGGAAGAACATATTGATGCCGCCTCAAGATACGGCTCTATGGCTCCTATAGAGATAATCTACTCCATAAAGACCCAGCAGAAATTCCAGTCAGCCTTTTAAGTGTATCCCCTTCCTTCCTGTAAATGGCTTTCAACACAACTAACAGAGACAGAAACTACAAAGCAGAGATGGTAACTTTAATGAGGGGCTGGCTGTGTGCCTTTGAGCAGTGTCAGTAAGGTTAGATCATTGGGGAGGGGTAATAACTCCGCGTTGCCACCCTGAGAGGTCTGGTTGGCTCTGGTCCCGGACCCTGCTCTTTGCACTCCATCTTTCTCTCATTTATTCCCAAACCTCCCTATCTGGCCTGAGTCCAGACAGCGGTGCTGTGGTAATGCTCACACCTGTGTCTAGATGGTAAACATACTGATCCATCTTATCCAGCTTCCTTTGCTTTCTTTTTCCGTGAGAGAAATAGGGAGAAAGACACTATAAGTATAGGGACATTTTTAGACCTGGCTCAAACCCAGGAGGCTTTTTTTTTTTTAAAGATTTCCTCTGTCTATAATTCCACACAGTTCTTCAGTGGCTCCAGTTTCATGTCAGTGTCCATGAGAGGATCTGAAGAAGCAATGAAAAACCAGCCGCCGATACAAATCACCTTGAAGTCTCCTAATGGGAGTCAAGCGCTGACTTTATCACATTAGTTATCACAGGTTAGGACGAATGCAAGTCATAAAACATCTGAAGAAAACCACATCCATGCCCACACACAACCTTTATACACACATGAATTTTTAATCTGATAGCACTGGTTACATGATACAAGGTTGCACAGAGCTCCAGTGAAAGGTTTGTTTATACTCATAGAACAAGTGGTAATGGAAAACTGATTTCCCTCTTCACTCTTTTGTTTACTGGACCTTGATCTTATATTAACCATCACCTGATCCTGCTCTCTCATGGTCAAGGTGAAATACTCTGGCCACCAAATGTACGTGAAATGGGAGATGTTAAGGGCAGACCCTTAAATGCACAGCACACACATGCAAGCACACAAACAGTTTCAGAGTGTGTGCTTTGAAGCTATTAGGAAGCATGTGATATGAGGAGGGTATTTAACTACATGAAGACCTAAAGACAACTTGGTCACAATATCAGAACAATAATTACTTGTCGATCAATTAACAGGTTATACACATAGCAACTGATTTTTTTTCTTCTGCATGTTAATTTGAAGTCTGAATTTGTATTACAGCTGCCAGGGAATCATAATTTGCGCGAGTCAAACCTTGATCGCAAATTCAATTAAAACCCGTAATAGGAGCGCGTTATCACGCTTCACAATCACGCGAACAGGAAGATTGAGGTCAAATATAGTCCAGTAAAGCAGAGGAATAATAAGGCTAAAATATTTTTTGTTTGTTTGTTTGTCCTATGACCCATCAGAGAACATGTAGGATGAAACAATTAAGAAGCAAAAGCACAAACAGTGAGATAGAAAAAAACAAACACAAAAACATCATTTCAAAAGGGCGTTTTATGTTACTTCAGTGCGCGCGCGTTGTTTATTTTTCTCTCCCCCACGCCAGAATTAAAGTAAACAGACTTAGACAACATACCTGTTACTGTTTCCCAGTGAGGAATTCATCAGACGCCATCGAGCAAGGGCATCATCCGTGCAGAGTTAAAAGTTGTCCGGTCATCGCGTCCAGCACTGCGAGGCGAGCGGGAGGAGCGCTCGGTGCCATTGCGCACAGGAGAATGTGAATGTGGGAAGCTCACTACAGTTGAATCGCCGCGCACACACAGTTACTTCACCCCCCCCCCCCTTCCCTCCCCTCCCACTCCCAAAACAGACAGTTGTTATCACGCGTGTTAGGCTTTTTACTCTCTGATTTTGCAGCCACACCGGTGGCGCGCGTACGCGTGGTGGTGGTGGAGACGTCAAGTGGTGTCTTCCTTTGCGCGTTAAGTGATGCAGTGGCAAATGAAGGTGACCAGTTATCACACACATGTTGTTGTTTCAGAATACAATTACTTCCATTCATCTTCTCATGGTGCAAGTTAACAAATCTGCATGAATTGCGTTAAAATCCTGCCCAGTGGCCGTATTCCTCAGTATGACCCTGAACCAGTCTGGGTCGTGCTTTGCTGGAAGTGACGTTGCATAAAAATAGACTAATGGTGGCCTCATAAAACAGGACCAGTAAGACCTACAGAGCATAAATGAGGTCAGGTCTGGGTCTAAGCTGTGAAAAATGTATAGACTGACACTCTGTGGCTCTACTATCCTATGGGTCCATTTCCACCCCTCTATCACACAAGAAATGCAAAGAAAAAAAAAAAACCTCTCAGTGCAGATAAAAAGTACCAGGAGCTTGTGTCTTATATCTCACATTCCCAGCTAGTGTGCTTTGTTTTGCTATCTTCTACATGGCATTTTAAGATAAGAGCAATAAGCCCTACAGGAGCTCCTGCAGCACATTACAAACAAATGAGACCAAACCAATGTAGCAAAGGAAGGTGTTATATATATATATTATATATATATATATATATATTAATATATTTTTTTGATTTTTTTTTTTTTTTTTTTTTTTTTCCTGTGAACCAGTTCCAACTTGCAACAATGTTTTAACTGTAGAAGAAATTCAAGACTTTTCTGTGGCATTTAATTAGGGGGTTGGGGGGTGTCAGTTAATATGTCTGTTGAGAAGCAAATGAGGACCGAATGGCTAATGTTTCCAGATATCTTTAACAAATGACAGACTGCAAAAGCACATCGAGATGTTATTACAAAGCCTCCCTTAATGTGGATCTTTTAAAAGCACTGAGCAGCAGGGAGTTGATGGCCTATCCTATGTAATCGCAGCAGCTGACAAACAGCCCTGAACTGCTCATTTTTCATAATGAACCTGCACCCAGTTTGTGTTTTAACTAATGGAAAAGTGCCCAAACGTCCTTGGTGCTCATTGGAAATTTGACCCATGCTTCGTCTCCACAGCAGCACGCTGGCAAATATCTCCTGTGCTGTGCAGAGCTGAAGACAATCCTGTAGCTGGCGTAATCCATACATTTGAAACTCGACAGAAATCAATGGTGTGTGACGTCCACAACACATGCTGAATTTTGACTGTGGATGATATTACAGGCCTCTCCACTCATGCAAAAAATGACCAGTAAACTCTGATTTCCCTTGCACGCCATTTATGTTCACTGTGCAACATTCAGAGCGTCAATCTCAGTCTCTCACATGAATAATAGCTGCAAGCGAGTACATTTTTTTTCTGTAATGGCTATTGCCTCACTGATTCAGTGATTTATAACATGGAGTTAAATGTGCAGAAAATAAATAAATAAATAAAGGAGTTTTGGAATATAAGCATGTCCAAACTCCTTGTTCACGCTCACTCAGAAGATCAACTCTGATGTATAAACCCACAGTGGGCTTTCACAACCCCTCCCACCCCTGCCACACAGAGCTCATAAACAGAGCATTGATTCGTCTAGCCACCCACATGCAAATACCTGCTGTAACTGTTGATATTTTTCAAATAGTCCCGATGAGAGGGGATAGGATGGAAAGGTGGAGGGTGAAGTTGGACCTGCTCTCCATTCGAATGAGGGATGCATGGACCTTGTGCAGATCGAGGTCTTGACAGCTGCTCACAGAGGTGTTACTCACAGGCTGTATAGCTGTCTAGAATAATATCAGTGTGAAGGTCAGGCCTGAGAGGGCATCACTACAGTAATGATAAAGGACAGTGGCAGTGGAAAAATGGAAATAAACATCAGCATTGGTTGAAATTTTGCTGCCATCTATTGGTCCAGAGATCAAACTGCTTATATCCCACTATGAGGACAATGACACCAAGCAAGTTTTGAGTGTGTTCAGTGTGTCTATGATATTATGTTAATATGAAACAGTTTAGTATATTAACTTCTTGTCGACTTGCTGCAAAAACAGTGAAAGATTAATACATATTATACAGTATATGTTATACAATTAGTATGTGGTTTAGAATTGGAAAAAGCAACTATGTCCCAATTCTGCACATTTAAGCAAGTTGACTATGAGGTGTGTTCACACCGGAAAAAAATCCAAAAATAAAATACATACAATCAAAAACTGAATATTTGTTATTTTATAATGCAACTCTGTCATTATGAATCCATCAGCTCTTATTATTTCTAACTAAACTTTTATTCATCTTTTTAAAAATACATCTCTTTCTTAGATTTTCTGTTATTTTGCTTATATTTTATTTTCCTATTTTTGTCTTTTCTTGTTTTATTTTATTCTTACAGTTCATTTTTACAAACTACTACAAGGAATTAAAAAGAAACAAATGATGAATTGGAAAAAAAAAAAGTCAACAGTGTATGTTGTTTTTTTGGCTGCTAACTACAGAAAGTTTACGCAAATTACTGAAAAAAAATGGTGTGCAATGTGGAATTGGGACAAACTGTAGGTCTACAAGGACATTGAGACATGATGAATTTTATATATAATTTAATCAACATCAAGTATTTTCACATTAATCAGTTTGTCATAAATCATATTATATGGAACATATGGAATCAAATGGATACATAGAATAATATGAAAAACCTTATTGGAAGGGTCACATCAGTTTAAAAAAAATGTTACAAGTCAATGAAGTGAAATTTTCTAAGTGGTATTTACTTTTAAACTAACAGTTACTATGAAATTGTGAAATTGTAACCTGTATGTCTTTTTTGTATATTCTGTAGTTTTGATTTAACTTTAATTTTGACTATAAAGTGCAGAATCCAGCCCAGATTCATTTTCCTTCTAGCTCTGCCCACTCACTGTACCCTCCTTCATAATGTCTCGCCCTGAGAAAAAGAAACATAATAAGAACAGCTTAGCCTCTCAACACTGTTGTTTGAATTTCTACTAAAAGCTCATCCACCGTTCAACAAACTGAAGTAACATCTGAGGACATTGTACTCTAGTTGCGACAGCATGACCGATTTCATTAATAATTAAATAGCAAAATGCTTCGAATTTGCCGTTTACAGTGCCGTGTAGCCACACTACAGCTTAGGCAGAGTCCACATTGTGTAACATGGTTAAAATCTAATTTAGTTGGTCTGGAATTTCATTCAGAGAGTTAAACAGTGGACTGTGAACCGTGATGAATCATGAGCTTCACAGGGTCATGAGTAGCAGTATACCGTTTGGTTTGTGTTTCGTGTGTGTAAACAGGTGCATGTGCTGTTGTTTACCTGCTAAACCCCAGCTGACCGGCGATGTCCAGTGCTTTCGCGCTCCTCTTGCCAGTTCTGCAGTGAAACACGATGTTGTCATCATCTTTCCCAGGAGCCTTCACTTCATATTTCTGCTCAAAGCTCTCTGGAGACAGCTTCAGAGACTCTTCCAGGTTTCCCACTGATATGCAGACACACATAAGAATATGAAAGTAAAAAGCTCAGAGAAAACCACCCCTTTCCCAGCTTTGCACATGTGTGATCACTTACGTGGGATGTTAACAGCATCTGGGATGCGTCCAGCCTGGTATTCATCAGGATTCCTCACATCAAATAGCTGGATGTTATGGTTGGACAGCATGGTCTTCAGCTGCGAGTACGTCACCACTGAAGCTGAGGTGAAAACACAAGGCTACACTTAATACAACACTCCAATCCAACTTTTCTCAGTGTGCAGCCCATTTACTGATAAATACAATAACTTCATCTCACCATTCACTGATTTAATAGCAACCTGTTTACTTAACTTCTACTGCAGGTAAACACAGCTAAGCACCTGACAGGCAGCCAAACAACCATACAGCCTGCAGTCCATCCAGATGCACAGGTAGGCCTTGATAGTGGCAGAAACCACTACAGTATCTAGGCTATAAAACATTTTTTTTTACACTAGTAAGCACTAGATAGCACTTTAAAACGACAATAATAGGAATATAACTAGTGAATATAATTCACTACTAACAGACACGGCCTACAGGAATAGTTTGGGGTAGGCTACTTAAGGTGGTTAACCCTAGCAGAAAATATATATATGTATATATATATATATTTTTTTTTTTACCATTGTTGGATGTTCCTCCGCATTTAGGACTGGACGTTGTGAACGTCCGTAAAACTGAGCCAATGGTCGGGCGGGTAACTTCCACGACGACCTGGCAGAAACTTCGTGACAGCACATAGGACAGCATGACGACAAGTGACCAGCTCCGACCACGGCGAAGTCTTAACATGGTTCAAGAGTGTTGACAACTCTCACGCTCTTCTTCTTCGTCTTCAGGAGTGTCCCACACTATGCGCTGCGTTTGTCGCCATCTTTCGGTTGGAATAGGTATAGTATATATATATATATATATATATGTTCTGTTTGGAGTTGGTTTGAGGTTTGATCCACAACAATTAACTGCTTCAGTTCTACACATAACACTTTGTTTGATCAATTTATAGTTTTATTTTATAAGCTTAATTTGGTTTTGCTTCTGTATGTCCTGGGGGCAAAACATGTGTTTACACAATAACATTATGTGGACTTCCCTTCCTTTTGGGGACAAAAAGCCCCATAATACAAATGGTAAAGAGTGAAGGTATAAGGTTAGGTGTAGATGAGATGACAAGATGATGGTTAGGATTAGGGTAAATCTCCAGGAAATGAATGTAAGTCAATGTAATGTCTTCTGATGTGATGGAAACAAGATGCACATGCTCGGTGTGTGTGTCACACCCAGCACTGAAATCAGATGCCACATGTGTCTCCGGTGATCACCTTTAATATGTAAATAATGACATAGTTGCCTGTGTGTGTGTGTGTGTGTGTGTGTGTACTTGATACTGACGTACTGATAAAAAGTATTTTTCCAACAGAGTGAAGACATTTTGGCTGCTACTCCACAAACCGCAAATCTTAGACATACACACCTACACACATGAAAATAATATAATAATAAAAAACATTAGAAAGCACCTAACAACACCCTGCAATTGGTTCTTGTGCTTTTGACGAAGGGAAGTAAACCAGCAAATAAAGTTAAAATACTAATACTAAAATATTGCCAATATTCTTTGATGGACTGTTTTGCTATCCTTAAGAAAATGTGCAGTATATATGTTTCATCTTTATCCAAGCTGTACAGGTCATACTTTTCTATACAACATTAAGCAAATTCTCCCAAACTGCAGTCAAAAGGATTTCATGTCCAGAATTTCAATTAGCCAATAAAACTTGAACGAGTCATTTTCAGTGTTAATACATTCTGTTTTTCTTGAATACTCTCCTTTTTGTCTTGTCATGATAAGACAGTCCAACAAACACCTCCGTCTTGTTGCGAACCTTTTAAAGTGAGGATATTGAAAGTTCAGACATTGTTTCTCCACTCTTCAGTCCCTGTAAAGATCTGAAGCTACATTATTGCTAAACTGTCTATTACACATTCTGTTGTCTGGGACACTATTTCCAGATGTTAGACAGTTTCTTAATTTTCTGCAAACTTTGACAATTTAGAAAAAAAAAAAAAAAAAAAAAATCTTTTTTTTTTGGATTTCTTTTTTGTCCTTGGAGTTTTGTTTCATGGCTTAAAGCCAGTTTCTGTATCGACAACCCGACTGGATTGTTACATTTCAGCTAAATATCCACTGGGGTTGGAGCACACCAGCAAACTTCACAGAGCAACCTGAAGGCTTCAGCCTGTAGGGACTTGTCTTTGTAAATCTTCCAAATAAATTTCTTTTCAAACAAAGCCCACATTTGGATCTTTTAACTCTTTCCAGCCACAAATGCCGCTCAGATCCCATGTGAAAAGAAGATTTAATCTGCATTGGGAGTCTAATCCCACTTTCTTGCCTTCACATCTTCACAAATGTCTTTACTTGAATGAGAAATATGGTTGGTAATTTGTCAATTTGTTTTTTTTTTCTTTTGGAAGATATCCCTCTGCAAAAATGAAAAATGCTTGGCTGCATTCTCTGGTTGTGCAATTTCCCTCTACTTTCACCCAGGGACTTTCTCATCGGGGTGTGTTCCAAGGTTTTAACATGACTTTGTTCTTAACACATATGCTTTCTTCTTCTCCATTACTAATCTCATTCTAGACTCTATTCATTTGACCTATTTTGAATCAATAATAAAAAGACAATTGTTTTCCCATCAGTGAACAATCTCTCTTGTGTGAGTTTCCTCCTTTTTTCGCCATCATCACACACTTTCATCTCCTTGGCAGCCTCCCAGTCTCCAGCATTGTATCGGTCAGTGAAAACAACTCTCAAATCGCCACCCACCATCCCCAGATGGAAGAATATCGCATATAGTTTAACTCATCGCTCCCCAGGGGGGATCAGCCATTGCAGGGGAATATATTTAGTGCAGCCTCATTATCACTTCGGAACTCTTTCCCACTCAGAGCTCATTAAAACATCTCTTCACTGACCCTTGAGATCTCCATTCGCATATTACTGCAGCAACAACCTGCAAAGCCTTCACACACATCTCAGCTTTATTTCGAGCAGCCCAAATACTTCCACCTTTCCCTGCCTTATCCCCGCCACACAATGTGCAATTGCTGAAAACTCATCTGTCTTTGGTGCGTGGTTCCATGAAAACCATTTATTCTCCCATGAGATTCTTGTAACATACTTGCGTTGCTGCTGTACACTACCGGGTACAGCCTGAGCTGCTCACGCACTCACAAGGTACAGTGAATCTAAGGGGTTCGTTCCACTAGCATGGCAAAAAAACTATTAATATGAAGCTGTCTGGGAGGGGAGCATCACTGTTTAGTTGAAGTGGTCGCAATCCGTAGACATCCTCGGCTTGTGATGCGGGAGTTTGGGAATCCGCGCAGGACTATTAATCTCCGCTCTCTGAAAAAATTTTCTTTCATTCGCATTTAGTAAAAACTGGTTGGTGTAATAAATCCAGCCAATTATCAATTATCTCTTGCCGCACATCAAGCCAGAGATTCTCTTTTGACGTTAGCAGGGACCAATTCAACACAAAAGCCCACAGACAATGTTGTAAAACAAGGTCAGGTGGCCAAATTTTGAGGTGGATGTAATTTATTGGATTTTACACTGATGGATCCATCATTCCAGATGGATGAATGAAAGTCAAGATTAGGCTAAGTTTCTTACTGATCTTGGATTTGTTGTACTTGTCCACCAGATGGGTTGATGGCCTCACTGCGTTTTACCATTTGCTTTCTTATTAGTCTCCATCATGCTTTGATCAGAGCTTTTCCAGAAATGAAAAAATATCAAGTCTTTCACACCTAATGAGATAAGTAGGAGTCATGGGAACGCTGCTCGTTTCACTGCTGAAAAAGCTAAAAAATCTGAACAAACCTATTTGCGTGACTAGATACCATTCGAGGTAAGTGAAAAAATATTTTCTTTTCCTGTTTTCAGTGTCACCAGTGTCGTCCAAACTTGTTATCTGCTGCCAGTGTTGAACACATGCCCAGCTGGAACATCTCAGCACAGCCACACCTTGGAATTACAGACATTATCTGGAAAGATAGACAGATAATTATTGCAATAATCTTACACACCTCCCTTCTTGTTATTTACTTTGTGCAAGAAATACAAAACAGATTGGTTTAATATTGACAAAGTCTCTGTTGAAAGTTTTCTACATGTCTTTTATTGACTGAGTTTTAATATTTGCTCACCCTTTATATCAGGAGTTTCATTTACTTCCATCAAGGTGGAGATTTTTCCAACCTTGAGGTGAAACAAATTTTATTGCTTCGGCTATTGGCTTTTTAAACAAGATTTTTTTTTTTTTTTTTTAAAACAGATGTGATTTGGCCTGTGACTTGCTGTGGATGTAATACGGTGCCCCTCTTCCTTTTCTTGTTGGCGTTAAGCTATGTATTTGTGCTTATTTGTGTGGGTGTGTATATATAGGAACTATATTACATTAGACTGCACTGGGTACTGGTTGCCCTAACCTTTCATCTCTGGGTAAGAGGGCCTGACACTCATACACCGTACCTTGCTTTCTTTAGTGCTGTTACCTACTTTACAATTTGGGGTTTGCGTATTGAAGGGTCAGGAAAAGACGAAACATGTTTTTTATATTCTCTCCCTCTCTCAGGACTCGATGTTCTTTCATCCTCCAGTGTCCTCCACCTCCACTTGTCGCTGTTGCACACATTTGCAGGGGTCGTTTACTTTCCTTGTTTTTGTTATTGTGTATTATTTTACGGAAAAAAATGTAGGATATAATCTTGAATCTGTCCATAGAATCGTCCTTGCGTCTTTCCTCTTTTCCAACCTTTCAAATATCTGGCAGAGACTTAGTGACTGCAAAGGCCACATATGATTCCATCTTTATTTTACTTGATAATGACCTAAATATGCTAATTACACAGAACCAGCAGAAAGAAAGCAGCATTTGTGTGGAATACACCTTTATGGGAGTTTTTTTTTTTTTTTGCTGCCATCCAATTCTCTAGATGGCACTGTCGCAAAAAACCAGGGTCCTAGAAATACAGTCCTGAGACCGCGGAATCCGGTAGTGCAGGAACATATTAGTGAAACTTTTTTGTTTTTTGAAAGAGACAGCGAAGACAGACAGGGGACACAGGGAGTGAATGACATACCTCAAACGGTCCACGCGGGCATTACACCCACGCGGTGCTCACCCTAACGAAGCGGCCATTATTTCGCCCACTTCTTTTTGAAACCTGTCACTTCCTCGCAGTCAGTATTGAACACATGCCCAGCTGACACATCCCAGCTCAGCCACGCCTCGGACCAGCACACTTTAAAGAGTGACAAACAAAGACAAATGTTGCCATATGTTTTATGTACCTGCCTTCCTGCTACTTAAAGTGATTTGCATTAGAAATACCAAACTAATTAAAAATAAAAAATAAAATCAGATAATTTAATCGGGTAGCAGCATCGCTTGAAACCCCCCCCCCCTCCTCCTACGCTGATGGTACGGTCCAAAGCATCATATGATTCAGTGACTCAAAGTGAGCAGCTCAGAAACACAGACGCAGACAGATTCCTTCGTTTCCTCGCTAATCCACAGAAAACTGTCACAATGCAGAGTATGTGTGGAGGTATTGGCGAGGCTATTGATGCCAACGAAGAAATCCAGAAGATCTCTGACAGCGTAAGTGGAGAAATGATCATTGTTACACTTGGACTTTGTTCCTTCAGAACTATTCACACACAGTAAACAGGGCCCGTGTTTCATTGTTGATATTGGTGTCACTTCATTGTTATTCAGGTTAAGTCCCAAGCAGAGACCAAAGCAGGGAAGACCTACGATGTTTTCACAGCCAAGAGCTACAAAACGCAGCTTGTGGCCGGGACCAACTACTTCATCAAGGTGATTATTATTTACAATGCAGAGGGGTCCTGAAATATGTTTTTTTTTCTTTTTTCTTTAAAATCTTGTACAAACAAAAGCTACTTTGACAAAATGAAAATATCATGTCTGATAATACTTGTTACATTTGTTCACATATCATATCAAAACATTTAAACTGATCTCCAAACAAAATCAGATCATTTAATATCGATATCCAAAACTCACACTTTTTACCAAAAATATTTGAAACATCAGGCATCAATTTTTGTCTTGCATTGCTTGTCATTGCACTTTTTTTTTTTTTTTTTAGCAATGCATCACCTTTTCCAGCAAAAAAAAAAAAAATCCATTATATGGTTCCTGTTTTTCTCTGGAGTTGTTGGAGAGCAAAACAGAGCTTTAAGGAGAGTGATTACTGGGACTCGCATTCATCGGGTGGACACAAACTCTTACTTTTGCTTCCTTGCAGGTCCATGTGGGAGGAGATGAACATATTCACCTCCGTGTTTACAAAACACTGCCGTGTCATGGAGCGGAACTCCAGCTGAACGGTTTACAGCAAGCCAAGAGCCACCATGATCCTATTGAGTACTTCTAACGGGATCCGTAACCAAGCAAAGCATCCTAGCAGTGCCTACAGGCTCCACTGTCATTTTAATCAGCTTCATTACATTATCCTGGCCTTTTTATATTGACCACTGCTAACATGTAATAACATACTGTATTATGGATTGTGGGTCATGATGGTAGGAATATGCCAAATGGGAACTCTTTTGTACAAGGTGAAATAAATAAATAATTGAATTAATCATATTTGTTGTGATCGTCTTAATTCTTGCTTTTCTCTCTCTGGTGGTTTCTGAATCGTGAGTTGGCTTCAGGGCAGGTCATACAGTGGCTTCAGAAAGTGTTCAGACCCCTTCACTTTTTGCTCACTCTACTCTGAATAACCCATAATGACATATTTTTTGAAACGTATGCAAAAGTATTCAAACTTAAAAACTGAAATGTGTCATCTAAAACGAGTTACTGTAAGATTTTGTATCAACTAAACGTGGCAGTTGTTGACATTGTTCCAAACTCTTGATTGATTTATGGATCTCAATGCAAAGTCCCTTCTGAAGCTTTGTCCCTCTGTCTCATGTTTTTTTTTTTGGACTCTTTCCAGTGTATGTGGAGAAAAAACAAACAAAAAAAATCCCCTCTGATAAAGCATTTTATATAGATTTGTTTAATAATTTGGGGTTACAGTGCACTGAGTAAAACATTTCCAGGGTGTGGAGCCATGTAATAGTCCCCCTCTTTAGCATTCATAATCAATATGTCAACATGAAATCAATGATATACACACTATAATATCAGTTGAAGCAAGTATAAGGACATTTACATGTGTTTATTAATGCACAGTATTTATCAAAGAATTCTATCCTCTCCTGTAGAGACTACTGGCCATAAAAGAAAGCTGCTCAAGAGGCTAAGTGGGCTCTTAGCTGTGAGGCGTTCATACAAATCCTTACTTTATTCCAGATGAGTTTTACACAGTTTATTAAACAACCGAAGGTACCGACCAGCAATTGTTGTACTTGAATACTTACATAGTGCACATAGTTTCACACACACCTTGGTGCACATAGGTGTGTGAAACATGTGTATACTGATTGTACATGATATATAGGGGAGGTTAAAGTCTAATCCATTGAATGTGACAAGTGACGCACATGTCGAGTTTTCCTGCTCGTTTTCTTTAACATGATGAAGTTGATTCTTCACACCAAACGTCACTCACAGGTCAATGCATCTACTATTATGAGCTTGTCAACACTCGAGCCTTCATACACGCCTGCAGTGAGAAACGATGAAACAATGACATAGTAAACTGAACCTTAAACACTAAATGTATTTTTGCACTGAGCTGTGAAGCATGTCGCATTCCTGAGTCACACCCACCACACCACAGGTTCTCCACGGCGACAGCTTTGTTTGTAAAGGATAGTTTGATGGATTCTTGTAGTATGAAAATGGAAAAAGTCATGAATTTCACAGTTATTGATGCATTTAATCATCATTTGAGTAGATTTTTTTTTTTCAAATATGTTCTATGTTTTCAATTGCCTAATTTATATGCTTATTTGACAATCTTTTCAAAAAAATGTGTGTGTTTTTAAAGGTTTATTATCTTTTGACATATTTGATTAACATTCACAGTAACATTCACAGCTTTTTATTTTTATTTTGAATATATGTATTTTTCATTATTCAAGTGTCATACAGGTGCTCAGGCCACATGGGGTTTTACATGTAAAAATCATATTATATCAGTTACACTTAAAAGAAATTTAACATCCAAAACAACAACATAACATACTCTTTCAAGCATAAAGGTTTTATTTTACCTCTTGCTTTATGACCCGGTGTGGTTACCATACCACCATGTCACATGTCAGCACAGACTACTTATTCACAACACACAGGTGCATTAAACTGTTGACAGACCTGACTAAACTGTCTCTGTGAAATATGTGTCTTACACAATCTACTAAATCCCCTCCCCAAGCCAAATCAAATCCTGCAAGCCAGTTAGAAATGTTGAAACCGTTGACTGTACCATTAATCACACAACCTTATTGTGACTTGAAGTGACTACAATCACACTGCAGCTGTGCTCGGCAACAGTGGGTTGAATTTACTCATTACTCACATCCCAGTCAGCCAGTTTCATCTCGTGACTGCTGTTCCTCTTTGTGAAGCACATGCTGCATGATTTTCTGTTCCTAAATCAAATAACTTTGCAAATATTTGACCTTTTTTTTTTTTTCGCAGCTCTCTTATCTCTCTGATGTTGCTTTGAAAATTCATGAAGTCACTTTTTTAAAATATAATTGTGATTAATTATCTTTTCTTTCTACATTTCTTTCTTTTTTATTGACAAAACGAGACTAACAGGAGACGGCTGACTGGATGAGCTTTAAATGCTCATTATTCACCTAAAGTAAAGCAACTACACTGGCTACTTTAATATGTAAAACAACAACAAAACAACAAAAAAAAGGCATTTTTATTCAAAATGATTTAATAACCAAATTTAGATTACACAAGCGCTATTAATATACTGTATATTTTATTCATCTTAATGTCTCTACTTTGTAACCCGGCTGACCTCTCACAGGTTTTTGCTTTGGCTCCCTCCAGTGTAAAATACAGAAATGACCCTCCTGCTCTCTTGGCTGCGCTCTTTGCTTTTCAGTGTCTTAATGTTAATGCAGCTGCTCTGCACCTTCGCATGTTATGAAGGGGCACAGTGTTTGTTCCGTACATGTCTTGTGTCATGTGATTACAGGTGTGTTAGGTTACATTGTCAGTGATTAATTATCTTTTTAAAAAAACAGTTGCTAATGCTTCACAGGAGGAGAACAAAATATAAACACTTAAAAATGTGCTTGTATGTAAGCAATTTGGTTATTGTTCATGTGCTGCTTAAATGCTAAAAAAAAAGGGGGGTTTTAATTGAAAGGTTAATGGATTGTAAACATTTTTCCACCGTATTAATTTTAAAGAGGCTATTTTAGCTACATCAGAAATTGTACATGACGTATTTCTTTTAATACTGCAAAGCAATATGTTCATGTCATAAAATCTATTTGTGAATTTATTTCAATTTACATAATGTTTCCTGTTTGTTCAGCATGTACTGAGTCCAGATCTCAGTCATCAAGATAATGTTTCTCATTTGTACACTTAAAATCAGAAACGTTTCTTTAATGATCTTGAAATCATGATATTGAATCACCTGTGAAACTCTGTGTCCTTATTTCTTCTGATTAGTCAGCATTATTGCATGTAAAAAAGAAAGAAGAAAAGTGTAGCGTGCTTCCTACTTAGAAAACTCATATCATATTCGACAGCATACACAGCTACGAAGACACACCAGGAATCTGCACACAAAAAAATTCCAAGTGTATTCCAAGTCAAAAGCAATATGATGCAACTTCCCTGACAAGAAACTCTCACTAATTGTTGAGAAATTCAAAATGGGAATGTGAAGGAGGAGGAGACGACGATTTCTTGATAAAGGGTGTGGGCGGGCTTTACGTTCCAAAATATTGGGGAGTGAACACAGCCTTACAGTTAGGAGTGTCCCTGAAATGCAAGTGTCTGCTGACCTCTGCCAATTCTGGTAAAACTATTTGCTCACTGTTAAGCAATAACTCTACAAATTATTTCTGGCATTATGAAGACTGATCTGCCTCCATCACCAAAGGTCAGCTTTGAGTGAGAAAAGCAGCCAGTTTTGCAAAGAAGCCCAGAGTTCATTGTGTCATGTTTAGCATCAAAGCAGTTCAAAGCAGGGGCAGCCTGCAACAATTCACCTTCCAGCACCGCTAAAGCTCACTAATTAAAACATCTCTCTTTAGTTTAATCCACTGAAGTGTAAAAACACATAAGTTGTGGTATCATGGGGATTAGGTGCCGCACGTTTTGGCAAGGAGCCAAAGCTAAGTTGAACAAATTGTCTGCTGTTTTCAGCCCGGCAGCTTCATATTTACCATAAAGACATGAGAGCATATAAACAAAAATGGTGGACTGTTTCTTTAAACCTGCATTTGATTTTCAAGATACCCTAAATGTAGCCTGCCCGTGATGTTCCTAACACCTAAAATGCTCCATAGAGCGAAGGGGAACTGAAAAGTACGATGGTAATAACCTGTGGGTTCGTCACTACAAACAACATCTTTCACATATTTGGGATTATTTGAACATTTGTCAGTATAAAAGCTTCTTGGTCACAGCTTCTTTAAAGATACGGCAGATGAACAGAATCTGAATTACACAATCTGAGACGTACAGTTTATGAGAAGTGCCACAGTGTTAGCTGCAATATGTGGAGAAATTCATCAAGGATGAGCAACACTAACCACACTCATGTCTGGGCTGTGGTTACACATATACAATAGCTCCACCCAATATCAGATCCACCTTTCAGTGCATATCTAAGGGTAGTTACACAGTATAAATATGTTTGATAACCAGCTGAAAATTAACACTTGAGACATTAAAAGCAGACGACTGACTTCTCTGTTAACCTTTTAACGGACCTTGAGACGATGCCTAACATGCCTGGAGGATTCACTGAACCAATGGATGCCACTGAGGAAATCCAGAAGATTTGTGATCAGGTGAGCTTCAGTCTATTTTCGTTTTTCACAACCTCTCACACAATTCTGAGGTCTGCGTTTAACTCTGGATTTACATCAATTTTTATTTCCTTCATACAAAGGTGAAGGGCCAAGTACAGGAAAACACAAAGAAGATTTATGAGGAACTCAGAGCAGTTAAATACACCAGCCAAATTGTACATGGAACAAACTACCTGATCAAGGTAATTAATGTTGTGATATTATTTGTTTCAAAGTAAAGAAAGAAAGTCTCAGGTGTATGGATATGGACTAAATTAATTGTGGCATCCAGGTGAACTTTTAAATGGTAGAAGATCCTCAATGTATCTGTCATTTTGACTCTCTCTTCCCTGCAGGTTCATGTAGGAGGGTGCATTTACCTTCACCTGAAAGTCTACAAAAGCCTTCCATGTGATGGAGGAGAAGTCGTGCTGATCAGCGTACATGACGACAAAGACGATACCATTGTACCTTTATAATGTGATCACCCTGCCTGTTTCAACTGCTGCAGCCTCATAACAACATACTCTGCTCCTTTATCCTTAAGGAATTATACACAATAAAATTCCTGTACAATAATGTTATAGGCAGTGTTTCATTTCTAATGTGTTAATGCATATGCAGCATAAGATGATACTCAAAAGTTGATAGCACTATTTTAGAAATAAATAATAAAGAATGTATCAAAAAAAAGATAGAAAAAGCCTAATTTCAGAAATATTTTCTGGCCAGTCTTTGGCTGCACAAATTATTTGAAAAAAAGATAAAGAACCTAATTTTGAGCAAGATATTTTTGCAGATGGCTGAAAAAGTTAGTGGCAGTTTTCACAACACTTCAGGCATGAAAATATAATTTTCTGTTGATGAGGCCTTTGTAAAGGAAGGGGCCCAACAAGGTGTATGGAAAGGAACAGACTCTTCCCTGGTGTCCTTAAAAAAAGACCACTGGATGACAAATGCTGCAGGAAACTTTTAACAAGAACCAAGAGAAGCGAGCATGTTGCTCTTATTTAAATAGTTTGATTTTGAATACAAAGCATACAGTATGATCAACTCATAAAATGTAATGCAATATAACCGAATACCCACGCAGGTATACCCAGATCTAAATCTAAATATGTCATATCAAAAGTAATAAAGTCTTACCTCTCTATAAATGGTAGTCACTATTACACTACAGAAAAGACAGTGGTCTGGATATGGAGGTACTGGAACCAGCATGTTTGGTGTGCCGACTCTGAAACGTGGAGCTGGGAGTGTGCTGCATGGATGCAAAAGGTGTAGGGGAGATAACAGTTAGAGATGAGAGAATTTACATTTGAGGTTCATTTATTGTTCTACTGCAATAGCGTTCATAGAGACGTATTGTAGGATCCATTACACTCCAAACTGATTGGTCTCTTTCGGGCTAATAGACTTCGAACTTGCGGCCGTGATTCACGCTCCGGTTCAGGAGGTGGCGCTAATGCACCAAAGAGTTCATTATCAACGGCCATGAAAATCCACAGAAGAAGTTACCCGCCTCTGCTCTGTCTTCTTTCAGGTCCTCAGACAGGGGTTGAATAGCTGTGAAGCCCGGAGTGATCATTATTGAGTAGACATCTACCGTACACTAAACATGAGTGGAAGAGGCAAAGGAGGAAAGGGACTCGGTAAAGGAGGCGCCAAGCGTCACCGTAAAGTTCTCCGTGATAACATCCAGGGAATCACTAAGCCCGCCATCCGCCGTCTGGCTCGCCGTGGCGGAGTCAAGCGTATCTCCGGTCTGATCTACGAGGAGACCCGCGGTGTGCTCAAGGTGTTCCTGGAGAACGTGATCCGTGATGCCGTCACCTACACCGAGCACGCCAAGAGGAAGACCGTGACCGCCATGGACGTGGTGTACGCTCTGAAGAGACAGGGCCGCACTCTGTACGGCTTCGGCGGTTAAACTCTTCAACCACCAACAAACAAAACAACATAACGGCTCTTTTAAGAGCCAAACACTGAGTCAGAAAGAGCTTTATCCTCTGTATATGATCTAACAATATTATGAATTCATTGATAAATGTTTACTACTATAACAGCAGGCATAACGCATAGAGCCGCATTAATGTGACTGGCGGACTTGTGTTAGGACAGTGTTACTTAAACAACCTTCTCCTGCAGAGCTCAGAAAGACCGTGCTTCATGACCGTGTCACTGTCCGTCAGATGTCCGTCTAACTCATGCTTTATGCAACAGTTCAGCTGTTGGATGGCATCTTTTCTTCTAGTAGACCAGCAGTACATGATAGTATAATTAGTAATACATAAGTCATTATTTAGTTACCTTCTATTGTTACATAATTACACCTTTTTAATAATAGTTTATTTGTTGTTATCACAAATGAGCTAAGGGACATTATCTATCAACGCCATGAAACCAGGCTCATCGGATTCAGCTGGACACTTACAAATTGCACAGTACTTTGATTTAGTTTTCAAACTATATATAGATTATATATTTCATCTGATATCAAGACAGGCAAAATAAATCTATTGTTTTTGTGATTTATTTTGCACCTGAAGCTTATTGTTCATACTGATCTAATGATCAGAAAAGGTTTAAAAAAAAAAAAAAAAAATAAAAAAAAAAAAATATATCTATAATACGTAGTACTATATATATATTAACCTGTCAAGAGCATTAGAAGTGTTATTGTATGTATATATATATATATATATATTATAACTAAGTGTTCTTTTGCTGTTATGCTGTTGAGTTGGGTTTTTACAAGTTCCCCCTATGTTAAAATCTGCTCTGATCTATACATCAATGCTGATGTTCTGTAATAACGTCTTCATAGGCCAATTTATCTATCTATCTATCTATCTATCTATCTATCTATCTATCTATCTATCTATCTATCTATCTATCTATCTATTTTGATTTGTCTCATCTGTTTCACCAACCCAGAGAGCTTTTTCTTTTTTTACAAAGGCAGATTTTAACCTGCTGCAAAGCTTTTGTTGGTTGGATGAAGACTATTTGATTGGACGAGAAGTTGAAGAAGAAGATGTTATATAAAATATTAGTATCTTAGTATCTTTAGACTTCCTTAAAATTCAGTTTATTTCGATAATTTCTCTCATTACAATCTTTGTTACAAATTGTCAAGCCCAGTATTTGTATTTATTGTTCAACATATAGATTAATATTTCATCTGAATCAAGACAGGCAAAATAAAATCTATTGTTTTTGTGATTTTATTTTGCACCTGAAGCTTATTGTTCATACTGATCTAATGATTAAGTAAAATGTCAATGTCAAACTGGCTCAAGACTGCAGGCTTAACAAGAAGGGTTACCATGGAAACACAACCCCCACCTCCAGCCCAATGTGTAGTTCAACCAATCACAGGAAGGGGACCACACAGTCTCATTTGCATGGAGCCTGGATAACAAGAGTCGCTGCTTCCTTCACCGATTCATCTGTTTCTGTGAAGTAGTAACTGACCAGGATGCCTGAACCCGCAAAGTCTGCGCCCAAGAAGGGCTCCAAGAAAGCCGTGACTAAGACCGCAGCCAAGGGCGGCAAGAAGAAGAGAAAGACCAGGAGGGAGAGCTATGCCATCTACGTGTACAAGGTGCTGAAACAGGTGCACCCCGACACTGGTATCTCCTCCAAGGCCATGAGCATCATGAACTCCTTCGTCAACGACATCTTTGAGCGCATCGCTGCCGAGGCGTCTCGTCTGGCTCACTACAACAAGCGCTCCACCATCACCTCCAGGGAGATCCAGACCGCCGTGCGTCTCCTGCTGCCCGGTGAGCTGGCTAAACACGCCGTGTCCGAGGGCACCAAGGCCGTGACCAAGTACACCAGCTCTAAGTAAACAGCTCTGCTGCTCAACTTGAACCAACTCAAAGGCTCTTTTAAGAGCCACACACTTCATCTAAAAGAGAAAATCCTTCAGCACCAAAAATTTGTTCACATATGTTATTCTGTTACAAACAATGCTATTAAAAAGTAGCAGCAGTGACCTTGTGTATTTCAAGAACGGTTATGACTATTTAACTTGCAACACTTAAAGTATTTATGTGTAAATGTCACGTTGAGGTCAGTCCTTGGCATAAAGATGAACTCAACTTGTTCTGTCTGGAGTCACAATTGTGAAGTGGAAAGATGTGAGGAGTTGAGTTTACACTCATCCTGTAGTAATGTACAGCTGCTCCAGGACCTGATCTGGGCTTGTGTCTCTTTCAGGAAACAGATTTGTGAATTTAGTTTTTCATTAAAATGCTCATAGCATGTGAACCCATCACCATTTGATGATTGAATGGACATTAAATCTTGCTTATAAGCACAGAAGTATACACGATGATCAGAGTGCTGATGTCAACAGACTGTAAAACCTGATTATACACAACAGTTTGGAAGGAAAGCCTGATGAGAATTTCAATCCAGAATAACTGCAGTGAAATACTGTGGTGAGACACTCACCCAATCAAGTTATTGATTATTCATCGTTGTGAAATTTAACACCTAAATCTATGCATACACATGCAATGCTTACACGTCTGTGTGTATGTACACATGCACATACAATACATGTACATTTAAATTAAAACAAATGTGTGTCCATGAGCGCAATCAGATGTCAGTACTTCACATACAGTTCTCCTTCAGGGAAAACTCGTTTGATGAGCATCTCACTGTCAATCAGTGTTTGAGGACAAAGGCACATCTGGTGAAGACACTGGATTTAATAGAGTTGTGTAATATTTATGAACCTCAGCAAAGACTTTCTCTTTCTCTGGGGTATTTTCAGATGAGTAAACACTGACCTGATATACTGATACACAGCTGTATCACTGCAACATCTGGATACAGTATTTTCATACGCCATTATCATTGTTCAGAGTGAAGTCTAAACACAAGTTAAATAAAATCAAAAAGAAGTGAGATATTCGATTTTCTGGAAAGTGCCAACAGTGTGATAATCGACACACACGTGTTTGTATTTGTTTACATTCAAACTATTTTAGGCATTAATTTGAAGTTATAAAAACCTGGACACTCAGTAATCTGTCCCAGCACATCAGACTAACATGTATTTCTTAATTTGATCAATAAACTCCAGCATCCTCCGCATGAAATGTTGACAGCTCTGACAGAGTCTGGCTAAAATTCACCATAAGCCTCAGCCATCAGCAGTGTGTTAGCTGCTAGGAGGAAACTCCACTTTATTAAAAACTGGTCATAAGCAAGAAGTAATTTTTACATAGGATCTCTGAACAAACATGTGGAGCAGCTAAGAAACTAGTTTTGGTGAAGCTGTGGTGCATTTTAAATCATTTTCGGAGAGAAATGAGTGGGGAAAGCCACTGAGCAGCGGTGGCCACCGCGGTGAACAGCTGAGGTTTCGAGGCTCCACAAAGAAAATGCAGAAACTATTAGAGCTGTTCATGACTTCAATATGAAGAGAATAAAGTCCGCTATCGGCTCCCTTCACTGTCAGCCCTCAGCACCTCTCCCACGGTGAGTTTTGAGTGTTTTTTCAGTGAGGAGAAAACACAAGTGTCCCGGTGTTGAGACTGCACGGAGGAGCCGGGGCTGGGCTGAGTCTCCACGGTTCTCATGGTGTGTTTAAGTACCGCCTCCTGCTCCGAGCTTTCCAACAGTCCGCTCAGTCAGTGTGATCATTCGTGGTTGATTGAAAGCGAAGAGGAAATAATGGCAGAGGTAGCACCAGCTCCAGCCGCCGCCCCGGCAAAGGCAGCCAAGAAGAAGGTTTCCAAACCGAAGAAGGTCGGCCCCAGCCTGAGTGAGCTGATCGTCAAAGCCGTGGCCGCATCCAAGGAGCGGAACGGCGTGTCAGCGGCCGCCCTCAAGAAGGCTCTGGCTGCCGGAGGCTACGATGTGGAGAAGAACAAGGTCCGCGTCAAGACCGCCATCAAGAACCTGGTGGCCAAGGGGACTCTGGTCCAGACCAAGGGAACCGGAGCTTCCGGCTCCTTCAAGATGAACAAGAAGGTGGAGCCCAAGGCCAAGAAGCCGGTGGCAAAGAAAGCCGCTCCTAAAGCCAAGAAGCCCGCCGCCAAGAAACCCGCAGCGGCCAAGAAGCCCAAGACCGCGGCAGCTAAGAAACCAGCAGCTAAAAAGTCTCCCAAGAAGGCCAAGAAACCTGCAGCCGCTAAGAAGGTAGCAAAGAGCCCCAAGAAGGCAGCCAAGAGTCCCAAGAAGGTGGTGAAGAAGGCCCCAGCAGCCAAGAAAGCCCCTGCCAAGAAGGCTGCCAAGCCCAAAGTCAAGAAGGCAGCACCCAAGAAGAAGTGAGCTGTCCTCCGTCCGATACACGCTAATAATATAAAAAGGCTCTTTTAAGAGCCAAACACATCCAACAAAGAGCTGGTTCCTAATTACTGATTAAATAACAGTATATTTATATTAAATTGATTAATTAAATGTGAGTTTAATGGAAGTTTCCTAAGAAATCACCGAATGGATGACAGAGCACACTACTCAGCACGAACCTCGAGGTTAATAGGTCACCAGAGGTTAATTTAAGTATGGATCTATATAAATATAAATATATAATTTAGTTAAAATAAAATAAATAGATCGTATTTTAGAATATTCAGGGAAGACACGTCATGTGTCATCATATACTAATATCTTAGTGGTACACATTACACATACAAATAGAACGGCCCATATAAGCTAACTGTACCATTGTCTTATACTGTATAAATGTAAAATGTTATATTCCACTGTCTTTAGTCTTGTCTACTTCCTTCCCCAAGTCTCATCATTTAGCTGCGATCTGTGCTGCTTTGGTTGCACCCGTCATAGTTCTTAGATCGTTTTAATTTATCTTAATTGTCAGGCAGTGATTGTAATGGCTCCATCATAATGTAGTAAAACATGTCTAATGTGATGTCTCTTTATGAAGAATGAGGATTCTACCTGTTGTGAGTGTGTTTTTTGATAAAGGCATTTGTCAGGTACATCAGAGACACGAGGATCTGCTCTTTGAGAGGTGAGTGTGTGGCTCTTAAAAGAGCCTTTGTGTTTGTGGTTTCCAGCAGATTTACTTCTTGGCGGGCTTCTCGGTCTTCTTGGGCAGAAGAACAGCCTGGATGTTGGGCAGCACACCGCCCTGAGCGATGGTCACTCCGCCCAGGAGTTTGTTGAGCTCCTCGTCGTTGCGGACAGCCAGCTGCAGGTGGCGGGGGATGATACGGGTCTTCTTGTTGTCACGGGCTGCGTTTCCTGCCAACTCCAGGATCTCAGCGGTCAGGTACTCCAGCACAGCCGCCAGGTAGACGGGGGCACCGGCACCGACACGCTCCGCATAGTTTCCTTTGCGCAGCAGCCTGTGAACACGACCGACCGGGAACTGGAGCCCAGCACGGGAGGAGCGGGTCTTTGCCTTCGCTCTGGCTTTGCCTCCGGTTTTGCCTCTTCCACTCATGTTGTTTCGATATGATCTCTACAGAGGAAACTCAGAGAAACTGTGGCGCTCACTGACACAAGCCTCCTTTATATCTCCGCGGAGAGAGCGGGACTGTTCCTGTCAGACCAACCAGGAAAGAGGCTCCAGCAGAGCAGCAGAGGGCGGCCTGCTCTGAGATTTGGCGGCCATTTCGAAAGGACTTTTCTCCAATGAACAGCCGAGGATCAGCGGCGGCTCGCTCCTGTGGGCGGTGCTGAGCTCCAGGAGGAGCCCGTCACCAATGAGGACCGGGGATCTGAAGCAGCGTCACCGTTACACAGCCGGTCCCACGCTTTAAGAGCCGAGCGTCGCCTCTAGTCCTCACACTTTTCTACTTTGTTTAGAGAGAGAAGAAGTAAAATGGCAAGAACCAAGCAGACCGCTCGTAAATCTACCGGAGGCAAAGCCCCCAGAAAGCAGCTGGCCACCAAGGCTGCCCGTAAAAGCGCCCCAGCCACCGGCGGCGTGAAGAAGCCTCACCGTTACAGGCCCGGTACCGTGGCTCTGAGAGAGATCCGTCGCTACCAGAAATCCACGGAGCTGCTGATCCGCAAGCTGCCCTTCCAGCGCCTGGTGCGAGAAATCGCTCAGGACTTCAAGACCGACCTGCGCTTCCAGAGCTCCGCTGTCATGGCTCTGCAGGAGGCCAGCGAGGCTTACCTGGTCGGTCTGTTCGAGGACACCAACCTGTGCGCCATCCACGCCAAGAGGGTGACCATCATGCCCAAGGACATCCAGCTGGCCCGCCGCATCCGCGGAGAGAGAGCCTAAAGTCTCGGCCTCCTCTAACATCAACAACGGCTCTTTTAAGAGCCACTTCACTCTGAACCTAAGAGCCAAGTCCTCTTCTGCTGTTGCACTTCATTAACTCTAAACTATTAATATAGTAACAAACTAGCATCATTAAAGTCAAATTTAGTCATGTTACTAGTATAACTACTGCTTCCTAGTTAAGTTATTTCAGCTAAGTTAAGTAAGCTAAGGAGTGTACTTATATTTGAGTACAAGAGACATGGCATTCACAGAGGTGTGCACTTATTTAATCTCCAACTAGTGTCCTTGCAGTTTGAGTGATCTATTGTATGATGTGACGATCATGCTTTTTGTTTCTGGGGGGGGGGAAGCAAAATATGATGATTGGAAGACTTATGAATTGATTCATTTAATCTCATGAAGGACAATAAGTGACTGTTAAACTTCATGTTCACTAACAGCATCACCAGTTACAAGGAAGCCATTCTGTCCATCACACAGTGAACCAAACAGCCGTGTGGACTTGCACAGGTCAAAGTGCTGTTCATTCACTCCTTTTGACCCACATTTCTTCCCACCGGTGTAGGGATTAGAAATTTGCTACCTTTTCTTCCCAAACCCACTTCTCTCAACTTTATGGCTCGACTGGTAAAATGTGAAATTGTAATCTCGTAAACATTACTGTGCTGGACACCTAATTGATTAGTTTACAGTTGATATCAAAGCAGCACGTTTCTCTCCTCAGCCAGCAGGGAGTCATGAGCAGCAAACTCATTGCATGTATATGTAGCCTATAGGTAACTAATTAAAACAAATGTGACATCTTTATGTTAATTAACAATATAATTTACACTCACACTTCACTTCATAGTTGTACAATCTAATATGATACAACAGCTTTTCCATAAATGCTTCCTTCACAAATATAACAATGTTCAGTTTCTCTCGTCACTGTCAGAGAGCTATTACTGACGTTGTAGTTTGCAGTAGTTTTGAACTGGACTGCATTATATTGAGAAGTGTTCCTATTATTTTTTGCAACCCTATGTGAGAAAGGCAGAATATTAAAAACACCCCAGCACAACACCACTGCCCACCATGACCTCAAAAATAAAGTAAGGACTCAGAAGTGCGGGACAGACAAAGTTCTATGAAAAAATCATATAAATGATGATTAATTTAAAAAAAAAGAATTTGAACATGGTGTAAAGTAATACGTTTATCACACAATTTCATTTGAAATAATGTCATATTGTAATTGAATTAACTCTTTTTATGAATTTCAACATTGAAACCACAGTGGTGGGACATCAACAAAAGTGATGTTTTGACCCATAAAATGCTTCTTAAATTGTATTAAACCACATTTCTTTGTCAAGATGTGTTATAACACTGTGCACGAAGCTGGATCCACTGATAATTTGAACAATTATCGTCCAATATGTAAAATCACCTTTCTTGGAAAAATCCTTGGAACTCTGGTTGACAAGCAACTTCATCTTCATTCAGACTATAACAGCTGTAGGGCTGTGACATAGTGGGGGAGACTGGGTATGGTTGTGACACTTTTTTGCCTGTTGGTGGCCCACAGAAATGATCACATGTTGAAAAAAGAAGTACTCACTAACCAGATAGAGTCAAAAAACATAGGACATTAATATGCAATTATTGTAAACAGTGCTGCACTGCACTGCGCAACTCACTTCAGGCACATCTCTCCTGAACTGGCAGTTTCTCAAAGCGGCCAGTGGCATATCTACTACCTCCAGAAGAGGAAGCATTTGAGCCAATAAATCCAGATACACAGACATGAAATCATATGATGAGTCACATGCTATACAATCTCTGCTGCACATGTTTTCTATGAAAGATTACAGAAAATCTGTACTGAAGGTCTCAAAACAAGCTCCATTGGGATAAATGAGGGGGGTACCACAAGATCTGTGCTGGGTCCCTTACCCTTTATAATATAGAGTCTTGTGTGCATTTGACTCCTCTCAAACTCAGGTTATTCCAGCAATGCGCCTTCAATGTTTTTCAGACACAACTACAGAATCTCAAGCTTATACTGAATGCTGACAACAAAATGTCTTTTGCTGCCAAGGAACCATCAATCCTGATTACATCATCCATCCATAGACCATATGGTAGTCAAATGGAAATTGGCAAGTCTTATAAATACTTGGGAATTTGGCTCGTTCTGACTTCGCTCAACCATATCCTTTATTCTCAAGCTGCTTGCTCCACCTTAAAACAACATGGTTCAGTCTATCATTGTGATTTGTGTTTCATCACAGGATATTATACTCAATACTGTGGACTGTATAAAAACCTAAGCTGGTATTTAGGAGCAACAAGGAGAGAACTACACATTATGACTTTTATTCATAAAGGTGCCTCAGTATATCACTCCACATCCTCTTAAAATATGATGCATTACTGTAGATTCAAGACCATGGTTTTTGAGGTACATCTTGAACAGCTGCAACACTAAAATGCTGCTTACACATGAATGCATATTTTTATTATGACATTTTATTTAAATTCCTCAATATACACTTTGATGATACTATATGACCACACAGGAATGAAAAAAAGCACCATTCTGCATAATGAGTACCCTACTTTTACTTTTCTTGATGCTCCATCTTTACATTTACTTCAGTGACAATGTGACCGAGTTAAAACTGAGACTGACAGTCTTGTAATTCGTGCGCTGCTTCAGGTGGTGGCGCTAATGCAAAAAGATTTCTCATAACGTCCATGAAAATCCACAGAAGAAGATGGCCTCGTCTGTCTTCTTTCACGTCCTCAGACAAGGTTTGAAATCCTGTGAAGCTCAGAGTGATCACCATTGACTTAACGTCGACCATATAGTAAACATGAGTGGAAGAGGCAAAGGAGGAAAGGGACTCGGTAAAGGAGGCGCCAAGCGTCACCGTAAAGTTCTCCGTGATAACATCCAGGGAATCACCAAGCCCGCCATCCGCCGCCTGGCTCGCCGTGGCGGAGTGAAGCGTATCTCCGGTCTGATCTACGAGGAGACCCGCGGTGTGCTCAAGGTGTTCCTGGAGAACGTGATCCGTGATGCCGTCA